ATATATATATAATATTATATATATTATATATATTTTATATGTCGTAAAAATTCAGCCAAATGATAAAATTAGTAGCAGTTTGCAAGATAAGTTCGATTTTACATTGTTTGGAGACCAAATGCACAATATTTACATATTATAAATGAGACATTTGAACATAATGAAACAGATAAGTGGTAAAGACAATGATCAAGTAATTGATCCATAAAATAGTTAATATATGTATGATTTATTTTTACGTTTTAAAAAATTTCATCAATTAACAAAAAAATTTCGAGTTGCTTTTCTATAGTAAAAAATCTTCGAGTGTAAAGGGTTAATATATATATTTACCGGCGATATATATCTCCCTAGTAGATAAGTGCAGTTAGGAGAATCTCTATTATCAGCATGCTGTTCAATCCAATGTTTGATTGAAATGTTCGATTCGTTTTTTACACTATTCAAATAATTAAACACATTCGATCAATCGAGCATTAGCATGAGATTCTACTGTATAACTTTAAGTGATAGCAAGAATAATAAATCAAACCGTAATAACTGCTACTACACTATATTAAACCATGCTAGTGGTAATGATGACACTGATATAACATTCAAGAATAATAAAATCGTATATATTGCACCATGCACCTATATTGGATGCATCATAAAATTACAGTAGATTGCTTTGCTGAGGTATATAAAAAGTAACGCGAGCGTCAGAAGTTACTCAGTTGGAATGAAAAGGAGAAATATAATCCCATTATATCATAGAACTGTGTGCAACAGTAAACTTCCAAAAAAAAAAACAAGTAAAAATGAAGAATAATTTTAACGTTTCACAATAGCCTTGATTTTATACTTGGAAATAGTTTTAAAATACAGTGGGTAAAAAAAAGATGGTCTTTTTTATTTCAAAAAGAAATGCAAGTATTACTTCAAATGAGAACTCGAAAAGCTGATGCTTGATAACGTCAATATGCAACACTGTTCGTACTGTACAATTATTTTTTTTTTGTTCATATTATTTTATTATATTCCCGTTAAGATTTCACCGAGTATATACAGTTTTTTCATTTGCAATGAGTTTGCTAAAGTAAAGCGCTTTGACGCTGATATTTCTTTTCTCGTCATTTATTTCAAGAGTGTGTATACAAATACTTTCTTTACCCACTACAGATGTTTCTAACGAATTAAACTTACCTATACATTCGAATTTTGTACTCAGATGGATAAGAATTTTTAACGAAAGATTCCACTGAAGAAATGAAGAAGGCACAAAAGTGAGTTATGTTGTACAGTATACTTGGTTTCTTGCGACTACATATATTCATACTTATATGGCTTAGTATATATATCGGGAAATTATATTGAAATCCCAAAATAAACATATATTCTATGTATTTTGTTCTTTTTTCAATAAAGGTAAAAATATATAAAAATATTTACTTCGCAGAAATTGTTTATTTCGTACTAACTGCGCGTTTATCATTTCGGGAAATTTCCTTCCGAAATATATCGCCATTCGTGAACAGGCGAGTGATTCTTATGCATTCTGTACACGGATTTTGTTTTTATAACATGTCAGAGTATGCGCACATGATGTGATGTGTACAATGTGCGATGTGCACCCGAAAAAATATAAAATAACAGTAAATAATTTTGATATTGAAATATACATATTTGTGATAATGGTATTTACTTGCAACACACACGCACACACACACACGCACACTTATATATGTATATATTATACACAGTTTCTTATAAAATACATGTACGTATTAACAAGTAAAAATTGATATTACACTTATCACATAACTAATCTGTAATGTTAGTGACAATATCGGGAAAATTCTGTCCATGCTACGTCGTATCACTGCTACTCAGACCGTTCTTTTGATCTAACTTATTCGCATTGGTCTTCACTGTATATATAAAAAAGCTTAGGGCTTCCTTCTCCACCACGGGGATCGTCTTGAAATGCTTCATGAGAGTCTGCAACAAAGCATTCATATTTTGTTATACAAAAAAACAAAAATCACAACTCATTTTATTTTCCTTGTACGTACATCCGCTAACTGAGCCTTGTTAAGACCGGGACGTGTTGAAACCTTGTAATGCCTTTTGTATCGTCTCAGAGTACCGACTTGCAATTGGAAGAGATCAACTTCTGGGAGATCGTTGTCGGTTTCTCCGGAATCCTCCTCGGAATCCTTGCGTCTGCGTTGCTGCTGCTGCTTTGTCCTCGCGCACTGGATCACTTGTTTGTGGTAGTCGCAAATGTATATATGTCGTGCCTGTAATACCAAAGACATAATAAATATATTAGAACAGTAATAATAACCATATGTTATTACAATATGTAAAACGTTATGGTTTATAAGATGTGCTGGTCTGTTACTTTTGACATCTTCGAAACTCTGAAGTTAACTTAAAATTTTCAAAGTTTTTAAACTCTAAAGACTCGTCAAACTTTGAAGCTTAGTTTGAAACTAATATATATATATATTCAAATACTGGATAAAAGTCTTCCCAGTTTCGAAAATGTCAAAGTTTGAGTACTCTTCAAATAATTTGTTGCATTTAAAAGACAGATTATGGTTTGCAGGATTTTTTTATAAATAAAACATCTCATAATAAAATATGCATACATGATAACACAATTCTTTTACATAAAATTCACATTTAACTTTTGTGAAAAATTTATGATTCTTTAAATTTGTATTGAGAAAAATTGAGAATTTGTACAATACTACACTTTGAAGTAATTTAATATACTGATAGATATCTTCATAAATAAAAATACTGTACTAACATAAATTGCAGTTAGAAATGTTACTTTAGAAAAAACGAGAAATCAACAGCTGAAGCAGTGTGCCTGTTCTGTGTCTGTTACGTACACACCATGTGATCGAGATTGAGCTTGAGCCGTCGTTGGGTGACCGTCTTTTGAATGCGTTTACTATAGGACGCGTTGCCGGCCGGGCGAGAGCATCGTTCGCCCTCGTCGACAAGGCAGCAGATCTGGTCCGCCGCTCCGCGCGAGTCCTCCTCACCGGTGCTGAAGCCGTTCATCCCGTCACGCTGCAGATGACGGTGTTCACAGTTGCCTCGCTGTGTGCCCGGTAATGTCGTCGACGCCGACGACGGCGATTCGCGCGATTAGCGTGCTCGTGTCAAAAGTTTTCAATCGCGAAAGAGCCGGCAGTCGCGAGATAACAATGGTGATAGTGACACATTGAACGATGTTGTTGGCTCATAATTCTCTCGCGTACGCACAATCCGAGGCCCGCTCGTCGAGCCGAGCGTTCTTCCTTTTTGTTTACGGATCTGTCCGTTCCTTTTGGGACGCAGCCGAGTTTTCGCAAACACTCGTCCGAGCTGTGCCACACGACGCCGGTCGCAACGCGTTCGCTCGCGGAAAATTGACACTTGAACTGCGAACGTCGCTGCAGGAAAATCGAAGCGGGATAACTCGGTGACTTCGTATCCGGAAAGCTCACCGTCGACAGTTCTGGCGGGACACGTTAAATGTGCACGTATATACGCTGCTTTCTTTTATTATACGCTGACAATTTTCTCACGTTACGCTACTCCTAATAATACACAGAACGCGCGATTTTTTCTTATCGAAGATTTTCGTCTTGCTATGCACGCCAGCACGATGCCGATGCGCTCAGTGCCGATGCGGAGCAATGTTGATTTGAACGGAGATACATGCACACGATGATATTTTCGACTGCGCGTCGCAGGTATTCGTAGAATACTTCGTCTATATTATCACCCCTGTAGACCGGAAGCATCATGGACTAACGAACATGCAGATTCGCAAATGCAAAGTTACGTGTATTTAGCACCAGGGAATACTTTGTTCTTGATTTCTGTATGGAAGTTAACGCGACAAGCCAAGCATAAACACGTGTCCAATAGGATAATGGGTTTTCCAGTGACTTTAACTATCGACATTTTTATTCCTGATAAAAATCTCCCCATTGGACACATGGACATAGGAATATAGGGACGGAGTGTAACGTCGCGAGGGGAAAACCACTGAAGGAAGGGGACGAGGTAAACTGTGCACATTTTTGATTGGCTACTATTTGACGCAAATGCAGTTGGTCATTATTCGACGCAAAAATATTATGCAATTTGGGCAGATATAATGAGCATTTGAAGTTATATCAAGAAAAAACGTTAATTAAAATTGTTATTTTAAATATATTTTGTGAATATAAAAAATGGTGCAGTGTTTTGTACAGTCTTGTAAAAATAGATCCGACTATCAAAATTGGAAACAAAGTAATAGCGGAAATAATGTAAAAATAACATTTTACAGGTATTGAAATTATTTATTCATATTAAAGTTAATATTATATGTTTAAAGTAATATTATATATTTTATTTTAAGAGTATAAGAGAGTTGTTAAAAATATTGTTTTTTTTTCTTAGTTTTCCCAAAGATCCTAAAACTCGTACATTGTGGTTAGATATTTTGGAAATAAGTTCATCATCTATCCCAAGTACAGCTCGTATTTGCTCTGTCCACTTTGAAGAGAAATTCTTTGACAGAACATATTTGATAACTCGACTTAGATGAAATGCATTACCTAGGCTGAGTTCCACTTGGTGATCGCAACACTCGCAAACACTATCTATCTTTCTTTAACTTTCGATGAAAAACAAAGATAAAATGATTCCACAAGCGTTGCGATCGCCAAGTGGAACGTACCTCTAGTGTATAAGGCCGGTTCTACAATAAGTTGCAAATACTCCGTCGCCAGTCGCGAATGCTCCGTCTTACTAAAAATAACTAGAAATAGCGCTTTCCAATTAGTAGTTGCCATCCTTCGCGACCGGTGACGGGGCATTTGCAACTTATTGTAGAACCAGCTTAATAACAAAGCGTACGTATAACGATAACCAATCAGATTCAGGCACAGTATCATGGCGGACCCCCTTGCATTTTGGCTTCACTCCCCTCGTCTATCAACCAAGTTTACGCTCCGTCCCTATATTCCTATGTCCATGATTGGACATTGTTTATCGTACATCAAACGCAATATGAATTAACCATTATACGTCTAGGAAATTTTTCGTGACGCGAGGACATTGCGCCAGCTGCAGTGCCGCGTCTTATTCTGTTTCAGCTGGCGCCATCTACGATAGAAACAATGCCTAACCTCAATAATCTAGTGTAGTCAGTTGTGACGATCTATCATCGAATGAAACAAAAGACGATACGTCGAATTGGCCGTTGAACAGGCCAAGCTTCGACAAAGTGCTCGCGACGGCGACGAAAGTGGCCGCGTTCGTCGCCGAATGACCGGCTTTGCGCGTACACACTTTCCCGCTCTTTTGACCGGCCGACATTTTATTTGGAGGGGGACAAAAAGAAATGCACCAAAACATAAAAGGTCGGCGCTGATTGGTTTACTTTTTGCGGCTTATCTGAAATAAGCCAATGGTAATGGGAGATTTTCCCCGTACACTGGCCGTATGCTGCACGAGTGGCGTGGGGTCGCGATATTCGAAGCTGAAGAATCCTTTTAGCCGTAGCGGATCTCGTTCCAGGTAAGAAAAATCCAAATATTTTTCGCGAGTTGCGTTGACAGATTCAGCGGATGTCGTGCGGGCGTGCTACGCGTTCGTCCGCGCCGTCGGGCCCGTCTAGCGCGAGCGTGTCCGCTGGCCGTAGTTCGCTACCGTGCTGCGTTTCTCGTACGTATACCTTTTATTTCTGTACTACCGTCAGCACACGGCAGCAAATGGCTGCCCAAACGGACGCGTCGTGTGCGACGCTTCGCCGTTGTGTCATTCCGCCGCGCATTCTCGAGATATCGTACGACGAACGAACGATGGCGAGTCTCGCGATGTGGTACGCAGATCGCTGCGAAGCCGTGGAGACGCAGCCACCGCTCGCTCGCTCGCTCGCTCGCCTGCCTGCCTGCCTGCCCGCCCGCCCATTCCGCCGCGTCAACGGCGTTGACGTCAAGGCTATACGCGCGCTTACACATCCCGCGTTTTGCGTTGCTCACACCTCGTCTCATGCATCGCAGTGAATAATTTTTTCCGAGGAAGACGATGCGACCATTATTGAAAGATTGACCACGGTCTCGGTTATCGCTTCATTGTGCATAACGCGATATATTAAGACGCGTTGCCAGTGGTTTTTCCGCTCCGGGTTTTTTCGAAAGCTGTCAAGAGCGTGCGAGCGAGCGAGTTTGTCTCGAGGAGAATCGACGTTTCTCTCTGTATCTCTCTCGCTTCTCTGTTGCTCCGATTGTTTTTCCCAATCATATACGCGTTTTTCAGTTGCCAGAGAAATAGATCGCGATTCTCATGAGCGAACGACCGTGATGTTGGCGGGAGCAGAGTGGAGGGTAAAGACAGAACCAGCAGAGAGCGAGGGAGAGAGGGAGAGAGGATGAGTGAGTGAGAAAGAGAGGCAAAAGTGTTTACACGTAGGCGTTTCTCCGATGGCGCATCTCGTGCGCGCGAAGCGCGGCATAGCGTAAAGCTACGTCCAAGACTCGTAATTTAATGCGCGTTACATTACGGTAATGTTATGGATGACTATGTTGCAGTATTACTTGTTACTCTCTGCCATGTTTTATATATATTCCATTTACGGACCGTCGTGATACGACGAAGATAACGATGTATTTATTTTGTTGATCAAGCGTCGTTTTTTCATTCAATGTGATATTATGAGTTTGGATGTAGCTCACACGGAGACGCCAAAAGCATGTATGTCGATCGACTTGACGTTTTTATTCAAACTGCCAGTTGTTGTTCAACAGCGTTTGAAATAGATATAGATATTTCCCGTTTTAACGCTACAGGTCTGTGCTTTATAGCTGCTTTTCTTGTGTCTTTAATTTTTCTTTATTTTTTTTGTCTTTTTCTTTCTTTTTTCAGTATTTGATTATAATCCTGTATAATTAATTACAGTCATAAATTCTTAATTTTACTTTAAGGCGTTTTGAGCGTTAATTAATTTTCTTAAAAATTATTGAAATTTATTTGTACTTGGAGACTTCATAAATATAATTTTACAATTTCAACGATATTGACTTATTAATTACTGAGATATTTGACTTCAAAATAAGAAACTTTTATACAGAGTTGTGGCAAAAGTCAATGTTACATTTAATTATATGCTGTAATAAAAAAAAACTATTCTTACGGTTTTGATAAAAAACTAGTTAGTAATAAATAAATTTATAATAAAGCTTTTAGAAAAAAATTACAATAGTTTACTTGTAAATTATTGAAAAGTTTAAGTTTTAAAATTTGAAGAATTTTATTACACTTAGTGATAAAAAGCACTGATATAATAATATGACAACACAGTATTATTGTAACATGTGAGATTAATGCAAATGCGCGCTTTTTTAATCCATTTTCCAAACTAATAATATAAAAAAATTACAATTACGAATAGAATGTATGATCAAAATACTTTACCTTATAGGTTAGAAATTCATAAATAAATCAACACATTCTTGTAATATTTACGACAATGCAAAGTGTATATCAATATAGCATTTTCGACAATCACAGCTAAAAATTTTATGTGTATAAATGAGAATTTTTCAACCTATTATCTTCTTACAAAAGTATTACTTTTTGCCAATACTGTCACGCTCAAACCATCTTAAAAAAATCGTTAAAACTAAATTAAATTTAATCGTTCAAGTGTGAATTGCAAATAAAATGCTAATAAATTATCTTGCAAGTTTCTTACATATGCTTTCAGTTTGAATGCAGAAAGTGTAGTGCAGCTGAAAAGGACAGACTTTGAAAAATATTAGTAAATGTATAATGTTTATCCAGATGAACACGTGATGGGAATTGAAGGCTATACAATTTTGTGACAAGTTTAGCTTTCAAAAGAGAACATTTGATCTCTTGATGTATTCGTATATCTCGTGATGATTCAATTGAATGCAAAGTTTATTATTCCTTGTCTACATAATAAAAACAGGTTAGTGCGCAAAAGAATAGTAGAAAAGATTTTAGTGACAACATTACTAATAGTTTCATTAATGGTGAAAAAAAGAGAAATATCTTGTTACATTCTGAGACTGTCTTATTAGTTTATTATTATGAAGGATAATTTTATTAATTTTTAAATTATTTTAGAAATGTTAATGAAACATACTTGTGAAACAAAACCTCTGATTTTCTTTAACTTTTAAAAATCTGCTGTGATCAGTTATCACTACATCTGAAGAATTTGTTCTCTTGACGTGAAAAACGTTAAATATTTTAATTTAATTCGGTCTTTAATAAGCTTAAAAAAGAATTAAATTTTCATACTTTATTTATAGCTTATTCCATTATCCTCGACGTGTGTACCTGCCGATTTCCAATAGGAACCTTGTTTGCTCTATGCTGTGTGTCCGGGACACCCTGTACTTAAATGAACGCTCATGTGTGTTACAACATTGTGCTCCGTCGTTTTTCAAGCCTCGCAAGCACTCACAAGCTTTAACGAAGCTTAAACTCATCCACACTGACTATGATATAGTCTACGTAAAGAAAAACACACAGCTGCAAACATTTTTTTTTAAACTCGATACAACATCTCTCCGATCGATTATCCGCAAAAGCACTCGGTCGGAACAAATCGCATCTCTCCCCGCGCTTCTCAAACCCCCTCGTTCGTTTTGGATAATAATCGGCTTTCTGTTGTACGCGCTAAGAATTATGAGTTAAAGTGAATTATCTAAGAAAGAAGAAGGAATTGCATCACCGCTGCATTGCAAGCGAACGTGTGAAACTTTTGTTTGGAAATCCTTTTTAATGAGTCGTAAAAAATGTAGGAGAAACAATTATTACGATTTCGCGCAGAATCAATTTTCTTAAAAGTTAATGAAAATCAGAGTGGCATTTTGTTGTACGAAGCAGTTTTTGTCTCGTATTTATCCAGAACTGTCTTTCCGTTAAAGAACTTGATTGAATGTAAAGAATGTTAAAAGAGTGTTGATATATGTACACACACGCGCGCGCACATAAAATATAACAATACAATTCAACAATCGAATGTTGGATTTTTGTTTTAATATTTCTTACATTCTATTCATTCGACACGCAAAAATTAAATGAATGAAGAAAGTTGAATAATCACGAATTGTAGTTTTGTATGACTTTTATTATACAGTTTTTGTCTCGTAATTTGTAAATCAAAATATTATAGCAAGAAAGGTTTTAAAAGACTAAATAAAAAAATCTGCAATTTTTCAATCCAAGCAATAGTTTTTGAGATACAAGAATTCAAAATTGTTTAATCAGATTCTATGATTGAGTAACTTATTTGTGAGCTGCGCATATAATAGTATTAGTGATCATGAATAAGTGACTGTTTAACCATAGAATCTAATTGGCCAATTTTAATCTAAACTATTGTTTAGATTAAAGAGTTGCAAAGATTTTTCTATTCAGTTTTTTAAAAACTTTCCTGTTGTAATATTTTGATTCGTGAATTACGGAACACCCTGTATAAAATGTCTGGCATAAAACCTAATCTTCCTTTTGTAAAGGTATATTTTTACTGAGGAAAAATGTGAGAACTGACTTAAAGATATGATATATCTTAATAGACAAATTTTGAAAAAGTTAATTTATTGTATATAAAATATGTATGAAGAACTTTCGCGTTTTAAAAGTTGGTTTTTTTATTATGTATTTTTTCCGGTAGAATGCGACAATTGTATCGCCACATGGCACGATTCGAAGCCTTCGAAAAGCAGATGGTACGATTTCTGCAGAAGGGTTCCCGCCATTGTGACACCATTGTTTCTATCCCGTGTGACCGCTCACGAATGCATTATATTAGATAAAGAGTTACGATACACATTTTGAATTTTCACGCGCAACGTATACGCGCGTATGACAAGTATGCGCGCATAGGTGCCAAAACATGAGAATCGAATGTGGGGATTAAATAAGGAAAGAACGCATTCTTCTTCTTCATTTATCTACATTGAGAGAAAAAATGATTGCAGAAACAATCGTCTTGTTATAATTTATAGTATTTTTTAGTGCCAATCATATTTTTATAAATGTTCTAACTATGCAAATTATGGCTAATTTAACATTGCGTCATAGTCGTTATAATTATAATATTAATTTATATAATCATATCGTACGATTGTTATACTTCAAAATGAGATTTTGTATAGCAAAATCTATTTGTTTATATTTATATTTAAATTTGTTATATATTACAGTAAAATTTTTATATTATATAAAAAATATACATGGTTGGCAACCACGCATATAAAGTTATATTGCTAACATAATAACAGTTTTTATTAAAAGTGAATATATTGACTAGAATTATTTTACTGTTTTATTATGGATCCAAGTATCACACATTTTTCTCTCATTGTCAGTGTAATGAATTAGGATCGACTTTTTCGGAATGCCAACAACAATTGAGACTCACAAAGAAGGTTGTAAAAAAAAACGGTTTTCAATTCATCTCGGGATATTGATCAAACTTTATTGAACGTTTTTACTACACATTAAAGTTATTTCGATTTTTATGGTACAAGTCGGATGTTTCGAATTTCCGAAGCTACGCATTAGTATTTTTTTTGGAAGCAATATACAAATATATTCCGAATGGAGTCGGCCAATCCAGTTTGGTCAGTGTTGGGCCACATTAACGTGATCGAGGAATTTGTGTTTAATCGGATTCTTCTTTTCCTTTTTTTTTTAAATATTCAATCTTTTCCGTATTCCGCATCTTTCGCTTTTCTTTTCGTTCCATTTCGTTCGAAATTTGCTAGGTTTACTTTACACACGCACACACACACATACACACGCACGCACGCACACAAGTTTTGTATGTACATCGTTAGGTTGCCAATGCTGGGCCCTGGGAATGCGCGATGGCTTTGTCTCTCTTCGTCTTTCTCATATCCTACCTCTCACCTCTCTGTGTACCCTCTCTCCCGCTCTTTCTCTCTCTCTCTCTCTCTCTCTCTCTCTCTCTCTCTCTCTTTCTTTCTCTCTCTCTCTTTCTCTCTCTCTTCCCCTCTAGCCTCGACAACGTCATTGCTTCCACTACCTCTGTCTCCCTCGCTTTCCCCGTCTCTCTTGCTCGCGCGTCTTATTGACCCGGACCAGGTTCTCTTCTCCTCTCTCTTCGATTCGCGCCAGGTTGTCCGCACCGACTCACTCGCCGCCTCACGACGGCAAGGGTGGCCCGGGGAAGTGGGAGGGTAGATGAGGAAACACAGGATAGCGGGGTACGGGAAGGACAGGTCCGACGCACAGGTCCCGCGATATACATTTTCATTTCATCTTCCTGGCGCGCTATCAGAGACAGAATGAGAAAGTAGAAGGGGGGAAAAAAAGAAGGAACAGTTCTTGGGGAGGGATTAAGAAAAATTTCGGCCGTTCCCCCGAGAGTGGTGATCGGCCGGTTTCTCTATCCGGTTTCGTGAGCGAATCGTGCGCGAGTCGGAATTCGCGATATTCGCGACTTCACCTTGCCGGCGAGGATATGTCGTAGGAGCGGCGTGCGCGTTACATTCTTGCAATTGTTTGTACGTCGGTAAAGAGATAATGAGGGAGGTATGAAGGAAGAACGAATAGCGCGGTGGGGTGGACCGTCGTAGTGGCGGATTGGAACTCGTTGCGCTCTTAACTTGTAATGAAGTATTTGGTCTTCCACCGAGTGACTAATCGCAGATATTTAAACGGAAAACAAATTATATTCTGCTAGTAGTAACGCAATCATCCGCGAAATCGATTTATGGAAAGTTACAGTTGATCGGCAATTAACGATATACAATCAGAGTTACGTCAGAAATTATGTTTATTAAAAATATTTCTTTCAAGGTAACGCATACAACACTTCGTACGGCTAGTTTGACTCGTATATAAATACGGTTCCGACTTGTTCCTTGGATTAGGCTTAGATTAGGTTTCGCGAGGGCACGATCCTCAGGGCAAATTCGGTTTGCTGAACGAAAAATTTCGGCGCTTTTGAAGGCTCTTCCGTATCGACCGACAAAGAGCGGCCCGTCACCGGTCGGTAAAGACAGCGGTATGCATCGCCGTCCTCGTCCTCGTCCTCGTCCTCGTCCTCGTCCTCGTGCGTATATACGGGAAAAAGGACGTGCGGCGAAGAACGAAAAGCAGGAAGCGTTGCTTGCCCGATGTGGGGCAAATTCCAGCGAGCTAGCGAGAGCGTAGCGGTGTAGCGAAACTAAGAAGGGTAAAAAAAAAGAGAAGAAAGAGGCAACGGAAGAAATAGCGCGCAATGACGACAAGGAGTCAGCCAGTCGGTCGCGATAGATGCGTCCCTCTCTCTTTCTCTCCCTCTTTCCCTTCTCTTTCCCTGCCTAAAAGTTGACCTCGAGTTTCAAGGGTAGAGAAGGGTTCGCAGTCGTTTCTACCTCTCTACACCCCACTCCTCTCTTTATATCTTACCGGTGGGACTATACGGAGAACCGCGTGTGACTCTCGAATTCTCTACGAACGGAGAGAGAACGAACGGAAGAGGAGAAAGCGACGTTGCCTGTAGCGTGACGATGGTAGACTCCCGCCATCCCCACCGGCGACATGACGCCGTTCGATTGGCCAGCGCGCTTAGGTTCTCCTTTGTGAGCGGGCGGGTGAAAGCGTGCTTGGCAACGTCGCGAGAGTTTGCCGGCGTCCGCTGGAAGGAAGGCTAAACTGATACAAGTGTGAGAGTCGGAGTGAGAGGGAAGAAGAAGGACAGAGACGGTTAAGCGGCGAACGAGACACCGGTAGAGGGGAGAGTGGGGAGAGCGGTAGGGAAAACCGAAAGGAGAGAGAGAAAGAGAGAGAGAGATCGTACGAACGCGTCCAGGCGGTTCGTTCTCGCCAGGTTCGCCCTCTGTGTGTGCGACGTCGCGTGTAGTGAGTCGGTAGAGGCAAGAGAGAAGCGAGTCGCGCGCGCGTATGCTTCTCCAATGTGAAAAAGCTATTACTATACTACTACTACTACTATTACTACTACTACTACACACTGCTACGGATTGCTGCTGCTACTAACACCACCACCATCGCCACCATCGTCATCATCAGCGGCGTGCTCGTCGGACGTACCGGCATCGCGTCAAACCAAAGCAAGTTGAAGCGCTGTGAATCTTGTGTGCGTGTAACGCGCGACAGGAACTCGGCGTCCCGTGGACGCCGCGCAATGTCCTCGCGTTGCGTCCAAGCGCCGTAAAGTCCGTCGTCGTCGATATCGAGACCCTCTCCGGCATTTATATCAAGGACACGGCGTGTACATCCGTATCCTTCGTCAGCGCCTCTGCTAGAAGACGGAACCACCGTACCCGTCGAACAAACGAGTCTTGCCGCGGGACACTATAGGAGAAAAGAGCGAGACAAACAAGCGAGTTAGACAGAGACCGAGAAACGGAGAAAAAGAGGAAAAGAGAAGAAGCCGAGAGAGAAAGAAGACGAAGCGGCGTGAGCGTCGACGTCGTTGCTCCTCGTCGTCGATGGTGGGGAGACAGAGAGAAAAAGAAAGAGCTAGAGGGTCGGAGAGAGAGAGCGTGCCCTCCCCTACCCATCCGCCCGCTCGTCTCCTCTGCCCACCGCCGTACCTACTCACGAAGCTAACGAACGGTCGAGCGTAGCGTCGAGTAGACCGCATCCCAAGTATAACGTACGTATATCCACGGGAACTGAAATAAGCGCACTGTGACGTGTTTTGTGTGTCTATTACGCGAGAAAAAGACGGGGAGCCGTTGTTCCGTTCGCGCTCACATACGAGGCAAGCACAGACGACGAGAAAAAGCAGCACAGTGATCGGTGTTTGTGATCTTTCTTTTAGGTGTAACCACCAGCGGCCGGCGGTTGAACGCCGACAGTGCCGTGTGACAGTGAGAACGCGTTTGAACGCGTGCGTGTGGCGCGTGTCTCTCCTATCCGACGCCGAAGCGTTCGTCCCAGGGAGTCCCGAGTGTGCGAATGTGAGGCAGACTTTGTATACGCGTGCCCGCGAAAGTGAGGGAGAGATAGAGAGTCCGCTCGCTCTGTGTGCACTGTGCATGCACGCGAGATGTTCCCGAGTATGAGCGTGCGAGTGAGCGCGCGCGTTGCGTGTGAGTGCTAAAAAGAGAAAGGGAGGGAGAAAGAAAGAAAGACAGAGAGAGAGAGAGAGAGAGAGAAAGAAAGAGAGGGAGAGAGAGAAAGACCGAGAGAGATTGAAAGAGAGAGAGAGAGAAAAGGAACGCTAACGCGTGGATGTGTGCGTCCGTGTGCGTGCGAGCAATTCCTCCCGTGCATCCTTCTTTCCCTCGCTGGTGTTGTATCACTGGCGGGTAAAACGAGAGGTTGAGGTGACGTACGAACGGACGTACTTGCGTGTACGGATATGTCGGAACATCACCGCGTGGCGGGTGGCTGGGGCACCGCAAGCCCGGGTAATCGAGAGGATGCCTCCGGCGGTGCCGCCTGGTGGCCTTCGGGTTTGAACGCCGTTTCGACCGAACAGCAGCAGCAGCAGCAGCAGCAGCAGCAGCAACAGCAGCAACAGCAACAAAATATACATCAACATCTAATGAATCAGCAGCAACAGCAACAACAGCAACAACAACAACAACTTGCTCAGCAGCAGCAGCAACAACAGCCGCAGCACCATCCGGACATCGTCCGTAGTACCGCTGCCGCCGTGAATCAACAGCTCTTTTCCTACAAAATGGCCTCCAGCTTCCAGAATCCGGCGACCACCGGCACAGCGTCGAGTCCAATCTCGACGTCCTCGCCGGTCGGCGGCGGCGCCGCATGCATGAGAGGTGGCTACGATTACAGGCTCGGTACAGCGCCAGGACCTGGACAAGGCGCCGCCACCGCTGGCGGTGGTGGTGCGGGTACCGGCGGTGGCGGCGGCGGCGCCGCCGGCACACCTTCCGCACCGCCCGGTGTACAGTGGTGGTATTCAGGGGCAGTCATGGACGCCGCCGCTCAGAACAACCTGCATCAGCAATTGCAGGGTCAACAACAGCAACAGCAGCAGCAGCAACAACATCTTTCTCCAATTACCACGCAAACGTCCACGCCTCCCGTTATGTCCCCGGTATGTTGCGAAGTACGAGTACAGTTACAACCCTTCTCGAGAAAAAAAGAAGGATTCCCTTTTTTCGAGCGGCTTCTTTCTCGTTCTCTCGGTAAACGGTGCGTCCGCCTCCCCTCTTTCACACCTTTAGAAATTTTGATAATCTTTGTAAATGCTTCCTCGTAACCGGAATGCCCACTTTTCGATCGCGACCGCCCTGTGCCTGAAACATCAACGATTCTCTGTGAATAGATAGACAAGTGAGAAAAGGCGGCGAAAACTAATACGTTAACCGTTCAATCGGACTGTGCCTTAAACGTCAGATTGAGGAATAAATAAAGAAGAGAGCAGGGGATCACTCCGTATCGAATAAAATGTACAAATGTATAAAAATCGAGTAATATCGAATTTGTGTCTCGTCGTCAAATCTCGCGATCAAATTAGCGCCGCACAATTTTCATTTAAAAAACCGACCGGTAATGGGATGATGTTTACACGACGTCTTTGTACTATATCGTAGTAATCGGCACACGTAGGCCCAAACATGACGACCTCGCTTTGCACCCTGTCCCTCCCCTCTCCCGTCGTTCTCTCTGTTCGCCGTCCTTTCAACTGCTTTCGCGCGCGCAGCAAGTGAACGAACGAGCGAGCGAGTGAGCGAGCGAGCGAGCGGGTGGCTGGTTGGTTGGCTGGCTGGCTGGCTATAATGCGAAGAAATATATCCGTTACGACCAGATGGCTACGCGGCGTTTTTGACAACTTTTCTGAACGACTCCTACGGGACGCGCGGGAAAGAGCCTGTTCATTTTAATTGTGATTTCTTACAGTCTTTGCTTGATCTTTAGGCGCCTTAGATGATTGGACTCTGGTTAGATGGGTTAATTTTATAATTAATTTTGAAGTTTTTGAAAAACAATTACGATTCGTTTTGTGTTAACAGGGTGAGAGGTACATTGAGTAATGTTTTGAATCAATTTGATTTTGTGTTAACTCTGTTGTTCTTTTATTCGGTAGCTACTTTAGGAAAAGAGAGAAAAAAGCACAAATGTGTTCTTTCTTTCTTGGCTAATGCTCTGGAGAGCCGATCTGGCTTTGTTCGTCGTTCTTTTCACCTCATGTCGCCACACATATACCCGACAGTTGGCGGTTTTTTTCCGAAATCGATCCGAAATCCGAATCGAATGTGTTTAGTATACGAGTCTTGACATGATTAATCCTTAATTGGTGAGATAGTGACTCCAGTGAAATATATTTGTGACAGCTTTAATACATGGACCAATTATTTTATATTATTTTTATTACTCGTATTTTGCTTTTTTCAATATAATATATAGATAAAATTGTTTTATTTGTCCAATTTAAAAAGAAAATATATTGTTTTACTTTTCAAGCATTAAAATAGTTCAAGAAATTGTTTTTTAAGTAAAAAGGATGGTTTTCATGCTTATTGCATTTGACTGGTTTTTAAATTACATCGCTTTACGAAGTTAAAAATTAAGATTTTTATCGGCGATAGTTCAGAAATTTGTATCATAAATATATCGGGATTTTTTTGGTTGTACTTTATTAGGTTTTTTTGAACAAAGAAAATATTATATGCTATACATACATTTTTCGTACTTTAATCAAGGCAGCATATAACATTTTCCTTGATCAACAAAACCTAATGAAGTACAACCAAAAAAATCCTGACATATCTAATATTTATGATGCGTATAAGAGACGAGGAAATATAGTCCATGGAAGTTTTGCTAAATTTTTTTTGCGTTTTCACGATATGGAAAAAGGAGTGTAATTGGGTAGAAAGATATTCGTTCTGGTAATGTGTTGAAATTTGTAGATGACGATAATTTTGTTAACTAAATTTTCTATTCTATATTAAAGGAAAACAGAAAAAACATCAACAATATATAATGATTAGATTAAATAGGCAAGTTCGTCGTATGTCGATACCTTGAACGTGGAACAGGTTTTAATGTAAACTACATCGAATGTGAAATGTTGCTTATATACACATGGATCAATCGCACTTTCTTCATATATAAATTTTGTATATTTATTACGGTCAATTTTCGACGCAAGGTCAATATGACTTATGCAAGAGAAATGCTAAAAATTTAAGAACACCGAAGCGTTTCAAGAAATAATTTATTCGCGTTTCTTGGGAAGCGCAAACGATTGACCAATCGACTCTTCGATCTGCTTCAACTCGATGAGATCAAACTCGTTTGGTTGTTGTCTCGCCCAAAAATTCTTCAGTCCACTCTACAGAGCTATTCTTATCAAGTTCCAGTTACAAATTGCGGAAAGAACAAATTTATTGGGATACATAGATTTTTCGCCTTTTTGTCATAATCCAATATCGATGTATGCAGTGAGAGGCCAGGCGTTTTTCAATTATCATATCAATGGAGTCCGGTAGAGCGGGACCCGGGTTTTCGCGCGTCTCGCCGTTCACGTTTCCATCCTGACTCGCACGCGCGACTCTCACCCCGTCGTGTCCGCGTCCGTCCGTTCGTCCGTCTGTACATCCGCCGTCCGCTATTGATTCTGGGTTTCGTGCGGCCTTCTTCGTAAGTGCGTTCGCGTTCAGCGAGTTGGTTGGTATCTCGTTCTCGTTCTTTTTCATTTCGTGATTTGATTTTGCGGCGTGTGAATAGTCTATTCTTAATATAAAAAAAAGCCACGACAATTGTAAAATCCGAAATTTAATTACTCGAGAGGCCGACACGAATCGATGGAAGTGCATTATTAATACGATACGGAAATAATGCAAAACTGTAAAATAAGTAGACAAAGATTGAAAGAGAATTCCAAAACAACTGCTAAGCAGAGTAGACTAAAAAATTTGACTAAAATAAGGAAACGACGTAAGGAACATGAAATATTTCCCACTTGATTATACACATATTCTGCATTGTTTTACATTTTATTTAGTTAGATTAAAGAGATATACATCTTTAATAGTAACTCTAGGGCGTTAATTAAAATTACTTTATGATATTAACTACATTAGATGTATTAATTTTTTGATAGACGTGAATTAGAATTCTTGGAAATTAATTTTAATTTTTCTGAAATGTCTAGGAAACGCAATCTCCTCCGTTTTATCAGTTCATACGCGTTTGTAAAAGCAGAAATTGAATTTTTCCCTCGATGCAAGATTGAAATAAATTTGAGGTTGTGCCATATCTTCTATCTAAAATGCTCTATCTTAAGCATTGATATTGACAATGGATATCGAAATCACTCACGATTTTCTCTTAGCATGAGATCGCAAGCAGATGATCGGAGTTCATAATAGTGTAATGAAAGCGGAATCTTGTTCGGAATGTGTTAGGCTTTACACGAAGATTCTCGTATGAAAGTTGATGAATGATTCGTCAGATTATGCATTTTTGAGGTTATAATTTTTGATATGCAATTCGCTATTTGTGTTTGGAATTTTTTTTCAACGAATTTTTCACTGAAAGATGTTATATACGTTAATGAATAGATAATTTATCCCAAGTTCTATTTACAATGTTATAAAATATTATTGAATATATAAAAATTATAAAATATTTAAAATTATTAATAAAATTTTACATTGTTACGGAAGACGGAAAATTTTCGATTTTTAGTTAAAAATATAGTATACAAGATTTAGGAAATCGGTTTTTTGACTTACAATTAGCGTGAACGCTACGCTGACAAATGAGAAACGATGTAGTTTTATTGAAACTTTTTAAAAATTGATCTTAGCACAGAGGATGTGTATCGAGTTGATGTCAAAGTTTTAACCGGAGTACAATTTACGCTTTTATTAACAGACACGTGATAATGCTTCTCGACAATGAAAGTGTTCTAAAGCTCTAAAGTATACATTTGAGAGTAAGTCTCGAAAGGGAATAATCGTTAGTGTTTATTTGAGAGGAACACTATCGAGTTTCACTCGACAATCAAGAATCGTACTTACAAGTGGATACAGAAAAGTAGAGAGTTATTCTCTCATTCTTACCTCTTTTTACTTCTGCGAATTACTCCCAAATAGAGAGATTTCTTTTTATTCGAAATTTCATTATATTACTTTCGCGGATTAAGAAAATTCGTGTCGCAGAGTGTTTACGGCGAAAGTATTTTCGGGCGCGAAAGAACACCTGCCGAACAAACGGGACCGCAATACTGCCCGCAAACTCGGAGCTTTTCTTTCCCCTTTTTTCGTCGTTCGTAAGAGATGACTTGACGTAAACATCTGGCCTGGTTACATGCTGGACGTTAATTTTATTTCCACCGTCGTGAACATAGGAAACCGTACACCGTAATGCAACGCCTGCGGCCCGAGAAGCATCAATTTTTAATCCCTTGCATATCGCAACGAGCGCATAGAATGTTGTTGCATGGAAAAGTACGCGGGAAAACGAGAGGAAGAATAACACTGATCGCTCGACTGAAAAAAAGTTTCTTGCATTTTGTCTTTGTTGTCTTGTTCGAAGAAAAAAAAATTTTGAAAAAAAAGAAAATGGATAAAATAGTTCTAAGAATTGGATTTTAATTGATTAAAGTCAAACATAATCAATTAAGTCAGTACATATGATGTATATTTTGTGTAATGCGATATATTGGGGCAGCCCCATAAATAATGCGAGTTTTTTCCATGATTTCCTATTCGTCAAGCTTTATTCTGTAAACGAAATGCGGAAGCAAATCTGTGCGCGCTTGGAGTACAAGTGGTTTCCGTTCCGTTCTAAAAATATATATATACAGAGCACACCCGCATTACTTATGGAGCAACTCAATAACAAAGTCGATTCTACATAGTAGTTATTTTGCCGGCAGATCTCACATCCGCACGTAGGTCAACTAGATTTCCGATTATTTCTACAGGTACGTGGTAACTATTATTATCCGCAATCTGGAGTAATAAGGGTCGGTATATTGTACGCATAATACAGAGTAGAGATGTGGTATATCATATTATATTCGAAGGCCTGAGAGTGAGCGTATACACTAGCTTTTACACGTACTAATGTATACAGCATAAATATATAAATTACAGTTTGCGAGATGATGTATTTCACAAGAGTATATAAAGTCGTGTACAACCTAACCTAACCTAACCTAACCTAAAAATGGTTATTTCACAAATGTGTACATGTGTTTTGCTTTCAACTTTGCAAAGGCTGTTATGTCGATGGCCGTAAAAATGAAAATGTAAACGAATATCTTGTTTCTTTTTTTTTTGTAACGATGAATGTATGTGTGTTTAGTATGTATGTTTCTCATTCAAATCGATAAAATGTGCTTGTCAAGTCTATCATAGTTTTCTGTAATAAAATGCGATTTAGCCGGGGGTGGCTGGCCCTTCCCCCGGCTTGGTGCTGAGAAGACAAATAAGCTTTACGTGAAATATCTATATTTATTACAAATATGATAATAATACAATATCCAACTTCACTCGCGGTACTTCACTGTTGTACGTTACATTATATGTAATAATAGCGAAGTAATTATACACATAATGATAATGCCATATGATATTGCACGTACGTACAATATAATTGACCATTGTTACTTGGCAAAATCAAAAACGCGCGTTTGTACGGCGAGCATTGTTACGTGTGTCTCATTGTCAATGTGAGATCGCGGGCCGCAGCCGTTCATTAATTTAACACGCAAGTCGTATTACATAAAGTGCGTAATTACATATCTCAGTTGTCACGAATAATTTATTAAATTCGTTCGTACCAAGTCTAAACGACTAAGCTTTTGCAATTTGCCATCTCTCTGCAAATGTTCACTTTTTTTTTTCACGATTGCATTCGCTCTCTGCGAGCTAGTAATATGCGATGAGTTCTAATTTTACTTCTCATGCAAATTTCTCACGAAGTTATACGATGGTACATTTTACTTGGTATAATAATACACCAATTTTTTTTTTCAACTTGAAAATTTTTATGTCAGAAATTTGAATTTTGTTGAATATCAAATAGAAGACAGCTTCTCTAGCTCTGATTTTATAATTTTACTTCTTTTTTTATGTAAAAATAGAAGATTTCTATTTTTAGAAGTCTCCTTTGATACAAAAGTAGAAGCTATCGCTGTTGTTATGACTTGTTGTTCAAAAGCGTTAATAATTTTGTTACTTTTTGTGGCAGCATTTTGCATTGTACGTCGTTTGCTTGGATTTCAGCACCAAATACAGCAACTACCGCAAAACAATCTTCAACAAAATAACGCTCAGAGCTTGCAGCGAGACAATATGCCGAGAGGAAAAGATTCGAAGCCAAGAGGACGGATGACAGCGTATGCGTTCTTCGTCCAGACATGTCGTCAGGAACACAAAAAGAAGCATCCCGAAGAGAAGATCGTCTTCCGGGAGTTCTCCAAAAAATGCGCATTGAGGTGGAAGGTGAGATATCTTTAGATTTACTGTGCGCCGTGCAATAAATAGTATTTAATATATAAAGGAAATTTTTTATAGATATAAATAATATATAAATATGTAAGTAATTTTTGTATAGATGATTTTAACACAAAAAATTTGAGGTAATTTGTTATATTTTTTTGTTTATAATTTTAATTCTTTTAAATAATTGAACTTACAAATTTTTTATGCAATATATAATGATAAAATTTCTTATATGAATAATAGACAAATTTTTTCGCGGCTTGAAATGCAAGCGAGATTGAAAAACGTAATGTTTTGTCGAAAGTTTCTCAAATTTTTTCGCGTGATCTTCGAATAAATAATGCGCGACTGGCACGTTGCGTCTCGTTAAACTGTCAATCTTCATTTCTTGCAGTGGAATCAAAATTATCGCCAAGAACAATAGTCAGTAATGCAAAAGCCTTTAATATTGTAATATCGTTGATTAGAAGCACATCTACAGCGTGCGCGCATAATACATTTAATATTTTGTAAACTGCAATTAAAAAGAAACATTTATTTTTAAATAGTTAAAAATTATATCTTATGCTATTCTCAAAATACATTCCATTATTAATGAAACAATACATTTGTAGTTGGAAAAATTGTATTTTTATTAATTTAAATCTGAGAATATTGAGAGATCGACAGTATAGAGATATTAACGTTGCATATACTTAACATTGAATATTTTGTGTCGTAGACTATGTCAGACATAGAAAAGAAGCGTTTCCACGAAATGGCAGAAAAAGATAAGAAGAGATACGACGCGGAGATGCAGAACTACACGCCGCCTAAGGGGGAAAATAAGGGCAGAGGCAAGAAACGCAAACACATCAAGGATCACAATGCTCCCAAGAGATCGCTGTAAGTCCTCGCATTTATACATCTCCACATTGTAGAGGAGAAAGTTCTTCTTGTTGAAGAAAAAAAATTTGCTGATTAATATTTAGTCGTTTCAGTATCAAGAGAAGTGCAATCGCGCGCTAATCTGTGTTTCATGTCGAAAAGTGTCGGTGAACGTTGCAGTAGGCCGACTAATATTCTCAGGAAATTAAATTAATCTTTCAGTTACATGGGAAATGGAGACTACGCCAAACTGCACAACTGTCTCACAAGAGCTATTTTCAAATGTTAGATTGAGACAAAAGAAGGAAGCGTCATAGTGCTTGTTAACATTTTTCGGCATGAATAGGAGAAGCGCGAATGCACTGTTTTTCGGACGCATTTTCGCGTTCGGCACTCAAACGATTAAATACGTAATGAAAAACGTAACGAAAAGAGAGAATTGGTTTGAAAATTTAAATGAAATATTTTTTTTTTGAAACTTTAATCGTACTTTGAGAGATTTATGTGACTTGAATTTGTTTTACTCATAATTGATATATCTTGGATTTTTCTATATTGATTCCTCTAAATAAAATATTTATTATTCTAGTAAAAATTATTTAACTTGTCCAACTTATATTTTTCTAAAGATTGACGAGATATTATTTTTGAGAAAATAATGAAATAAAAAGTTTGCTTTATAATCATAGCTACTTTTTAAAATAAAATTTTAATTTTTTTAAATTGAGTTTCGAGTAATTTCGCAATAAAATTATTTTTATATTTTTGTATAGGAAGGTGATTTTGTAGGCCGCTATAGTTTAAACTGTTCGAATATTTATAGAATTTCATAATAATTAATTCAATCAGGTCCGCTTTCTTCTGGTTCTGCAACGATGAACGCGGCAAGGTGAAAATGTTGAATCCCGAATATGGCGTAGGCGATATAGCTAAGGAATTAGGCAAGAAATGGTCGGACGCAGATCCCGAAACCAAATCGAAATACGAGGCTATGGCGGAGAAGGACAAAGCTCGATATGAAAGGGTAACATATCCAAATTTAGCGAAACTTTACCTTTTTTAATCTTTCATCGAGATTCTTACGTCAGAAATAAGAAATTTTCTTGCGCGCTATATATCGGAATAAATTTCTCGATATGTCGCGACTCATTCTCGATAAAATAAATGAAACTTGCCGAAGACGATTTTTTTCAGTGCGCGAGCGCAATAAGATGAAATAATTTTCTCCCGCAGGAAATGACGGCGTACAAAAAGAAAATGCAAAATGACGGTGCACCGGTGGTCGGGGGAGCGCCGGCGAATCAAACTGTAAAAAGCGACAGTGAAGAGGAATATAGGGAAGACGACGAATAGCGGATGCACGTCGAAATTTCTTCATCTATCACCCCGTGTCCTTCATCCTGAAAGCATACCTCACCTACTGTACGTACCATTGACCTTAGCGTGAGCGTACTTACACCACCATTTACTAGAACAAAGTAACTAACCACCAAGCAACCAACCAACAAACCAAGCTCTCCAACAATTCCCACCAATCTCCTAATTTTTTTTTTTCCCGATTATTTACGATAATGATAAAGTTATCCGCGCTAATTACGATAATTATTTTAAAAGGAAAAACTGGTATGTGTGAGTGCTGCGCGAGCGTGAACGACAGAGCGAGAGAGGATTATTGTGTGCGTGAACATTTGTACTTTAACATATTGATAGTAAGGATGATGTAAAGTGGCTAGTAGGATAGCGGAAGAAAGAAAAAAAAAAAGAAAACAGAATTATGACAAAAAAGCATAAAGCGGGAAGAGATAGATAAGAAGCAGGCAGGGTTGCCCACACTTTCTCTATTCAAACGGAAGGCGCAGGGGCTCAATCATTGTTGACTTTGCTCTGTCGACGCTATGTTGCGAGCTACGTAGTTTAGTTTACTAGTGACGAAACACCGCGATAATTGATTGTTCCGTAGCGAGGATCGTAGAGACGATTGTCATCTCGCTGAGTTTTTGAAATTTCTTCCGCACGCAAAAGTTATTCTTTTCTTTTTCTCTGTCGTTCGTCTCACCGTCTCGGAAATCGAATTCTCGGCGATATCTCATCGCTCTCTCGGATCCTCGTTCTCGAGAGGGACTGGTCGCGTTGCGTTGTTACAAAATTAATATTGTATTGTATTTCGGGGATTTTTTTTGAGTTCAGTTTCAGTTGGGTTGAGTTTTATTCAGTTCAGTTCAGTTCAGTTCAGTTCGGTTCAGTTCAGTTTAATTCAATTCAATCATCGCCGGCGTTGTTGTGACACAACGCATACGCTCATACTTGACAACACATGAACACACACACACACACACAACCACACACACAAAAACACACAGGCTATCATTGTATATCCTTGTACAGAGAGCTTCGTTTCTTCTTTCGTATATTTTTAGCGAATCGATCATATTGAGAACGTGTGCCGGGGGCATGGGGCCGCTTTACGCATATTTGCGAATATATAATTGATTTGATCATGTTTCTCGTAGTAGTTATAAGTACGTTTAGAATTAAGTGTACGTGTATCTTGTAATGCAGAATTTTGAATTCTCTGCGACTCTATGTTTTTTTAGCGTGCGATGTACTTTTTTCCGACACACTACAGCGCTGTTATGAGCTACGAGCCACCACCAGTGATTGAGCCTTAATTATATAGCCGATGAGCCATCGCTCGATGCAATGAATTGAATCGAGAGAGAAACTGCGTGCCAGAGAGGAAAAAGGAGGAGAGAAAGAATGTGTGTGCGTGTGCATGTAGCTCGCAACTTCTATTAGATCGTTGCATATGAGATGTCGCTCTTTTGAAAAGTAATCATATTTTAATAATCAAGTATCATGTATCGTGTTGATCCTTTTACGAAAGTATGCTTTAGTTTTTGCGGAGCGTTTGCGCTTTCCTCAATTTATAAAAGAAAATTTTTTAGGGCAAAAAAAAATTTAATACGTTTATTTTTTTGGTTTTAAACTTGGATATTATATTAATATTAATTATTACGATTAATTATTTAATTCTATTATATAATACAATAATATTTGTCACTCATCTTTGAAATTATCGTAATGAAATTATCATTAGTATGCATCCTTTCCAACATCTCCACAGCTCCTCGTAGGACAATGGGATACGATTCCAATTACGATATGTCTAATCAGTATGTCAATTGACCATCAATTTGCACAACTGTCGGCCCAAATTTTGCGAAGAGAAGTTAAATATAAAATTAGTTGTACAAATCAATTTGCGGTAGAAATTCTACACTTTGAAAGAGTCGCGTAGTAACACGGAGGGGAATTAATCCTTTGCAGTTCACGTACTTTTTGCGCCTGTTAGAAATAACGTCGGAAACTTCTAGATGATGTTAGGTAAATTATAATACGGTATTATCTCATTAATTCATTTTTATCAGTGATTTGAAAACAATGTTATCGGTTGCTTGCCGCCGGAGCAGAACGTCTTTAAGCATTACGCCAGCAATACTGACAATTGGAGCGAGAGGTTGATATAATACAAAGGATTTAATATTTTTTGAAGTTTTTATAGTTCATTGAAACGATCATAGCTTTTTATTTTGAGAAGATTAGTCGCAATTTTATTTTGACGATACGTACTGGGTTGTGTAATAAGTAATTTTACACTTTTTTAAATCAATTTGTCTACTTCTTTTTGTTAAGCAAAACGCAATTTTATTAAAAATGAAGATTAAACATTCGCTTATCGAAGTTATCGCATTTCGCCCGTATTATGATTTTTTTTCATTGGGCGTAAAAAACAATACACTTTATTACACAACCCGGTGGAGAGAAATTATACGATATATATTTCGTTTCTCCGGAAACTGTTTGGAAATTATTTATGCAAAATCGACATTTCATATGCAAGGGCCTAAAATATTGAATCAAAATTAGTAGCACGATATTCCAGCGTCATGAAACAGCAAGTATCGCGCCGAGTGCTTACTTACAAAACGACGATTGTTATACTCATGTAATTGAGATTCCATTTTCACCGTAAACACTCGTACTGTCGGCAGTTCGTCCCCACAGTCTTATATCATTTTTGAACAATCTTGTAACTTTATTTCTGTTAAAATGTTTCTACAAATCGGTCATAACGCGAACGTACTAAGCGTCTTACTGTTCATTTTATTGATGTGCACAAAATTAGTTTTTTTACGAACTTGACTTGGACAGCAAAATCACGTTTGTTTCTTTCTTTTTTTTTTTTTCTTTTTTGCTTTAATGTCGCTTTAATGCATCGCAAAGAACGACGTTTTGTACTTTGTTCTCTATCGACTCTCTCTCTCTTTCCCTCTCTCTTTCTCTCTTTTTCTTTCCCTGTTTTTTTTCAAGTCCGATGTTAAAATGGTCCCTACCCCTTGCCATCGCCATTCTTCCTTCCACATTCGTTTTTAATTCACTAAAGAAGACAAAAAAAAGTAGTAAAATACGTTTGAATCTCTCGTCTCAAGACCCACGCGAATAATATAATATAATCACCGTTTGACTTCGTTGAATCATGTTATTGAGAGTCGAATTAAATAGGAAATAAGCTCTCCAAGAAGAAGGGCGTTTCTCTCTGTCTTGTACTGCCTCGAGCCATCTGGTGTACAGCACAGGTTGTATTATAATAAATTATTGTGGTTTCTTGTAATATTAACATTCCTAGATCCTATGTAGCGTGTACAGCAGATTCTAATCACAGTTCGGATTAGAGAGAGGGAAACCGAGAGGAGCTCTGACAATGAGTAGTAATGTGCCGAAGTGGTAGGAAACAAGATAAAAGAAAGAAAAAGAAAAGAAAAGGAAAAAAAAAAAAATAGGATCACACTGCGTTCTTCATCATTGTCTGTCCTGTGAATAAACGGATAAATATATATAAATATATGGAATGTCATATGTTTATATTTATTTATCTCTATATATTCATGTCAATTTTTTCGAAGCTTTATTATGATCAGACTGACACTCGTGTGTATTTGGAGATATTTGGCTCTCAGCGGTTTAAAAATCACCATCGCTTCTCTTAATGCGTTCAATCTCTTCGTCTATCTCATCCTCCCGTTCTCTTTCCTTTCCTTTTCCGGAGCATCGTCTCACATTGTCGACATGAAAGAAAAAGAAAAAAACGATTCTAACGATCGATCGCGATGAGCAAAACGTATGAAAAGGAACTTGTTTTCTAGAGGGACTTAGGGACGCGGATAACAAACGATTGTAAAATATCAAATTGTAATATTTTAATACTTACTGATTTGCAGATGTGCATAATTTTAACATATAGCTGATTATAAAAAAAAAAGAAAGAGCGAATTGTAACTGATACTGATATTGTGTGAGACACGGTATCCGTTCGATGGACAGTTGAATAAAGAAAGAAAAAAAAGGAAGAAATGGAATATTCGAAAAAGATCATGACATGAATTTCCTGTGTTATACTACTACTAGGGGAATTATGATAGTTACACGAGAAGAAATGTTTGTTTTGTATATCTCTTAGGGATAAATAAACTTTTCAAAAAATATATCTTTTGACCTTGGCTCTTATTATTTCTAATACCAATTAATATTATTCATAAACGATTTTTTGTTTGCAAAATGTTTATAATCTGGCAGTGAAAAAATGAAGATGGGAAGAATAACGGTTTTTTGGCAGAACAGCAGGAACAGCAAACAGTGTCACGCGGTGACACGTCATGTTACGCAATTAAATACTGACGGCATGTGCAGTCTTGTGATCTTTACGAGTAGCACAACTTGATATTGAGTTAGGCTAATCTTTTAGTCTCACTGAAATACTGCTGCTGCACTTGGTTCGAAGAATCGTAGTACAGGCTGCAAGAATAAATCAATAGAGTACAAGTTATTAATTAATTTATTATATTTATTGCAATACAGTTTTTTTCGAAACTCTTTGTTTCAGCATATATTTTTTACCTTTTCTTAAATCTTACGTTATTAATTGGAAACAGAGGAAGAGGAAAATGAGCAAAAAATATGTATGCGACCTGCGCGCGCGCACATACACATCGATTTCTCATAAAGTATTTAAAGGGGGGAGACCACTTTGACCGGGCAAACAGGAGAGATATCTTCGGCACCTTTTTTAAAATAAACTTGAATACAAATTTTTCTCTTACCATATTTTGAAAATATATATTTTAATATTGTCAAATAATAAATAAGTATAAGTGTTTGCACCTAAATATGGCTGCTTCAAAAATCTATATTTCTCAAAACATAGCACTAGTGTGTGCAAAATGGTATGTAAAAATTATTTGTTTAAAACATAAAAATAAACAAGAATCTTAAAGAAGAAAATTGTCGTACATATCGTCGTACATATGGAATATTTGGAAAATATAAAAAAATTACGCATATTTTAAAAAAAGATTTTAATTTTAAGAAAAATACATTTTTCGTTCTTTTTTTCTCAAAAACGAATTGTTGTAAAATAAAAATCGTACATACGACGGTAGAGCATACTAATATTTAGTAAAAGCTTCAAATTAATTAGACTTGCTAAGTAAAACTGTCTTAGATATACTGCATAAATTTCGATAAATTTCATTTCGAGAAAAACGCGATTAAAGTTGTAATGATAATATTAACATAACACGGTTAGAATCATCTCGTGTGACAAAATGTCATAACTCGGTTTGTTTTTCGAATTTCGACAAGCGACTTGTGGGAAAATATTTTAGAAAGTTCAAATTTTGTTAAAAAATTTGTTTTGAAGATTTTAAAGTGATCCTTCCCTAACAGCACGGTCTGCATTTGTGCGCGCGCATATACACTGCGCTCTTTTAAAATACTTTATGAAAAATCGATGATATGAATATACAAGATGTTCCGTAATGAAACTGACAAACTTCGTGTGTTCGAGAGGTTATTCTATGCAAAAAAAAGATATGGAAAGTTGATTGATATAAGCTACAAATGCTCAGGCATATTTAAATTATCCGATTTACATTTAATATCTGTTTAATTGTAAGTTTTACATTATACATTGATATTACTTTCATGTATACCATTCAAACCAGACACGCGTGCAATATAAAATTGACAATTAAATAGATACGATAGACAATTTAAACATTAAATGCAACTAGCTTGATAATCTGGTAAACACGCTGGCAAAGTTTGTTGATTTCATTGCGGAACACTGTACATATCGCACACCCGCAAGAAAAGTGACGCAAGTCAAAAATATCAAATTGTTTGAAGGAAGGAATTGTGTAGAATAATATTATAAATTGATTTTCATCCCAAATTCTGTCGCAAATCGTCTGAAGCAAACTTGATTTTACGGAAAATAATTTCACACGTCTACGCTTGGTTAAATAATAATTTAAAAATTAATTATTTACGACAGTATTAAACACGCGGAAAGTATTTAAATTCAACTTCTATCATTTTTCTTGATTGAAGGCCGTATTTAGAACACAATCTGCGTATAAAACAAATTCGAAAAATTTCGACTTGTGTCACTTTTCTTGCGGCTGTGCGAAATGTATCTGTTGTTCGATTATAACAAAATTTCTTCGAAAATAAATTATATAAATACGACATTTTTTTACCTCTCAATATTTTACAATTTCTTTACGTATCTACAGAATTCGAATCACATATCTACATTTATAGCTCCTTTAATAACAACAAATTCAAAAAAATTAAGAGTATAGCACCATTTTTTACATCACAATTCTAATGATTGTATTTATATAAAAGAATTGAAATAATCGTCTGACGATCATTTCAAGTTCTTAATCTTGGAAAATAATGTGTTAGGAAACTATGATTCCATTAAAAAAGATGATGGTTTGTGAAACAATCTGAGTGTCTCTACTTATTTGGATAAAAATTATTATGACGATTTATATGTTTTGAAATTCTTTCCCTCTTCCCTTTACCCTATAAATTCGATTTTATTGATTGTAATTGAAGTCTGTGTATACCTCCATATAAAGCTGCCTACAAATAATGAGAATATTATGCATTGAGTACAATAAGAGTAAATCCTAGATACAAAAAAGTTCTATTACAAATCAAAGCGTTTTCTATTGTAGTCATAACAAATGTTTGATGATGACTGGCAACTTAAGCTATTCACTTGCGCTAATTCAAGCTATAAAACATAATTGTTTCTGTCCCCATACAGCACAGATATATAATATGAGAAATATATTTTCTTTTGAAAATATGTATATCAAAATATATCTATCATTATACAATTAAAATACATTATATTATAAAATAATAGTATTTTAAAACATTTTTCTGACTCTTCTCGCTATGCCATAATATAATTAATGCTGATGATGGCTGGATCTCTTAATTGAATTGAATTGAAATACTTAAATAATGTTCGAAAAATGTAACTATAGTCAACCACACATAACAATGCTTCAAGGAGACATACAATATGTGAATTAGTATAAATTATTGTTGTTGATTTTTCAATAATTCGATATTAATGAGTTAAGATTAACCTGGCCATCATCTTTCATGACGTATCTTCTGAATTAAAGTGTGTATTTGTGTCGTATAAGATATTACTTTATATAATAGCAAATAAAACGATTGCTATTCACATACAATTAAAAATTGTTATAGAAATTTAAGATGTGTAATGTCCAGGAATATTTATACGTTATTTTTTGAGTTGTGTCAATACTCATAATTTCTGACATATTTGTATGTAACTGTGTCTGCAATATCTTTGAAGATGTATTGAAGCAATATCATGAAGAGACAAATGAGTCGTATAAGTATTACGCGGCCAAAATTATTTATATTGAGCAACTTAATACGTTGAGTGCCGTGCCAGTCACGTGATCAATACTTTAACTTTCAGCAGCGCTGGAAACCGGCGCTACCAAATTCCAAAATATATAAAATTCGTATACAATAACATTTTTAACACATAATTCTGCGAATATAATTAATATCGAAGTAGTGATTTAAAATAATGAGTAAATATTTTTATTTTGAATTTAATAAACTCAAATAGAATCGCATATGTCAAAGAATGGAATTTCACTTCGGCATAGACGGAGAGATGAGCGAATTAGGTCTCTATTCAACGTATTAAACATTAATATGTTAGGAATAACGAGACCTAAATTATTTGAAAATCAAGAAAATAAAAGAAATGAGCTTGTAGACCAAAGCTATTGTACGTGCTCACTTGTATTTATCTGTTGTCTTTTTCCATATACGTTTCGGTCGTTCTTTTGATTCTCTTCAGTACACTTGTATTACAAAATTGTGTGTCTGAACGACGAGATGTAAACGTATACGGAAAAAGACAAAAGATAAATAGAAATAAACACGTATTACAGCTTTGGTCTACAAGCCTATATTTCTTATTTTCTTAGTTTAGACAGTAATGTTCCAAACCTTTAAATATTTCTTTTATATCCGTGCTGCGTGGTTTCATTTATTGATATATTGCGAATAATCTCAATTAAACGCTACACTCAACCGTTCAATCCAATTGCATTATGCGCACGAACTATAGAATAGATATACTGTTGCAATTACCATCGAGTTTTGCAAGGCTTTGAGTGAACGATAAAACAATGTTCAATCGTTGGGTTTGCGGCGGGAGGACGGAGATTACTTTGTAACTTCATGTATCGCGTGCGCCAAGTATTCCACGTTCTTCGACGTCACGCCGGCCATGGAGATACGACCGTCTTTGGTCAAATAAATGCTGAAGTCCTTTGTGAGTTTTTCTACCTGAATCAATAACAGTTAAAATAAGGAATGCCGTTAAATAATTAATAATAATATTCTTAATAATTATAAAATATTTTTTTATATTAATATTAATTTCAAATCTTTGAAAAAAAAAACTTTCTGAGAATTTCAGGATTTTCTGGTTTTTTCCTGATAGTAGAGACATCATAAATTTAACTGTGTTGCAATAATTGTTAATTTAGTTCGTAATTCAATTTGACTTTAATTATGATAAAATTGATTAAAAGCTCAATTTACATTTTTTATATTTAATGAATATTTTTTGCAATTTTAATATATATTTAGTTATAAATATAAGCTACTTTCATGGCAAAAAGAGAAATCACCTCATTCGGCTTCAGGCCGGTGTAACAGAACATTCCGATTTGATCGGTGATGTGAGACCAATTGCGGGCGCTACCATTTTTCTTTAGATTATCGCGTAGCTTTGTGCGAACCGAGATGATACGGTCAGCCATACCCTTCACATCACCCAGCCATTCCTTTCGCAACACTGGATCATTAAGAATCTCATTAACTATGCGAGCTCCGTAGATTGGTGGATTCGAGTACATCGGCCTAATCAGGATCTTCAGCTGCGACAAGGTGCGTGCAGCCTCTTCCTTGCTCGACGCCACCAACGTGAACGCTCCGACACGTTCGCCTGAAAAAATTGAAGAGAATTTAGCAAACATTTACTTTACCTGTGTAAAGTGAATCACTTATGATTGTCTCTCATCAATATTTTCTATATCAATTAAATTCTAAAAATAAGCAATTATTGAAATTTATCAGATTCTTGGTTCTTACATTATTTGTACTTGATTTTATATATTTTCATTTGTGTGTACGCACCATAGAGGCCCATATTTTTTGCATAGGATTGAGCTAAGGCAATCTTATGACCTTCTTTAATGAACAGTCTGACCGCAAAAGCGTCTCTCGTAAGATCTCCTGTAGAACAAATAAAAAATATGAATAACAAATTACAATAAAATAAGTATCAAAATATTTTAATATAAAAAACTTGAAAAATAAATTTTGTAGTAAATTCTATAAAAAACATCTGCATTAAATTAGCAATATATGTCTATATATGTATTATATATAGAAAATAATTAGAAAAGTGTTCTGGTTTAAATTCATACATTTAGAAAGTGGCTGTTGAAAAAAGAACAGTTAGTAAGTTTTCATTTCAGGGTACCTGAGGCAAAACCTTGATACGCCATATCAAAGTACGGAAACAGGTTCTTTTTCTTGATTAAGGCAGACAGCTCTGCCCACTGCTCTGGCTTAGGATCAACACCGGTGGGATTGTGAGCACATGCATGCAGAAGGATAATCGATCTCTCGGGAATATTCTGTCAATAGACACATCATACATGGTGAAATTCCTTGCAAATATTATAACATTAATCAATTTGACATGGAACTTGATACGAGCAATATTTCTTGCAAGTTTTCTATCTTAAATTGTTATTCTTTTATTAAAATACATGTTTTAAAATTTAGATAACGTGTTTTCTTATTAGCATATAAATGTTAGTTATTATCACCTTTCTTATTTAATACAACGTAAAGTTCTTCTATCTGATATTCATTTTTCGAACCATTCTCTGTCAATGCAAGCGTTATAACAACAGTTATTTTTCTCTTAAAAGCTTTTTTTCATACTAACAGATATGTCTTCAACTACTCCTTTGAAGTCCAAGCCACAAGTGTTTGGATCATAATAGCGGTACGACTTGACTGTAAGCCCAGCAAGCCTGAACAGAGGATTATGATTTCCCCACGAAGGAGTTGGCAGATAAATTTCCTTGTTGCCTGGAAAGTGATGAGACAAAAATTGTGCTCCAATAAACAGGGAACCAGTGCCAGAGATTCCTTGAACTGTTGCGTTCTGAAAAGAAATATCTTTGGTAAGAAATACTTTATGTTACTTTTTATTGTAATACTCACCAGTCCATTTGAAACGACTTCATTGTTATCTCCAAGAGCAAGATTAATACTGTGCTGGCAAAACTCAGCATTACCAGAGATGGCTGAGTATTCCTTGTCCATTTCTTTAATTCGAATCTTTTCTTCTGCCTGTCACAAGCAATACATTATAATAACATTGTACTTTTATGTCATTGTACATATTGTAATATAAATTTTATTCATATAATATAAATCGCAGAGACCACACACACATATTTGTATGAAATTGATATTTTATTTATAAACTAACCTTACGAACACTGGGAAGAACGTATGGTTTGCCATTGTCATCCCTATAAGCACCGGCGCCTAAATTAATTTTCTTCGAATTTTGATCTCTCTTATATGCTTCAGTGACTCCAAGAATGGCATCTGGTGGTCCCATCTCTACATGAGACCACCATGAACTGTAATATGTAGAATCATAAGTTATGATCTACTCTCTTTAAATAAACTGTAATTATTTTTGCATTTATATAAAGAAAAAGATAAGACGTTTACAAAAAAGCAAGTACAATAAATAATAGATACAGCTAATTATGACAAAAATTTGCAAATATAAAAAACTAGTATTGAACATATGTTAAATTAAATATTTCTAAGCTTTATCAAATATTTTTAATCCATCCAATGCAATATACTGTGTTAATTATACATAATTATTTAATTTTTTCAATATTTATAACTATATGAGTATATTATAATGTAATTCACAATACAAGTTTAAAAAGTGAGTATCTGCATAAACTTTAGTTAATTTGGTTTCTAAGAGTAAGCACAATGCAAATATGCATCCAAAATACTATCTCCAATTTGCAGATAAACAGTGATCTCAGATGTTACTCAAGTAAGGACTGATTTTTCCTACTTCTTGGTAGGTTTACCCAATTACCTATTAATAAATATTAGTAATCCTTACTCAGTGGTTGGAATAAAAAGTAAAATTACCTCTATCATTATTATCAAGATGTAATTATATTTGATATTCCAACTATCGAGTAAGGACTACTGATATTTATTAATAAATAACTGACGGATAAACCTACCAAGAAGTTGGAATAACCGGCCCTAAATGAAACGAATATCTTCATGTTAATTTTATGAGTAAATCTCATTTTCAATATTATTGTCAAAATTATTGTTAATAATCAAGAGCTCAATCAGGAAAATGCTATTAGTAAATGGACGAAAGCGATTGTAAATCTAGAGTATTTCAAGAAGTGGATAATTTTACAAAGGTCAAAAGAGGTCAAAACATTTGTCTGCTGAATGCTGGAAACTCACCTAGAAGGTCTCACAGCCATCAATAAGGGATAATTAGAAGTACTCTTTAGGAAATTGGCAGTTGTTGCGAGCAGTCTCGTAGTGTGTGCCATTTAGAATGTGTTTTTTTTGCAATTCTTTTGCTCTGAACGTGAGTTAACCTCAATGTCGAATTCCAACAGATTCCAACTGGACCGGAACGTCTACGCAAAAGAACGACGTGTCGAGTCAACTCGGCCGTTAGATGTCATATGATTGGCGCCTGAACAGCGCATCAAGGTTATCACAATCGCGTTATCAACGTGATTACGTTGGTATTTTTTTTACTTTTGAATATTTTCTTTCTTTCGTATGAAGTACATTGTGAAATCGGTTGGCTTTGTTTATATCGTACGACATTGTGTATGATAAGATTTAGATGAGTAAATGAGTTTTTAATTTTTAGGTTATATCGTCCCTCTGACTTCTATATACTACTTTTTCATTCACAATTATGTTTTCCAAAGATTGTAAAACATTCTTTAATGCATTTTAGTGTAAATTGCATTTTTGCAACTTGAAAAGATTTTTATTAGTTGTAAATTGATTGATTTTGCGCTTGATAACCTCGCTTCGTGTAATTAGCCAGTTGATAACTTTATCGAAAAGATGATAGAAACCACTGACAAAAAGTTATTCTATAATACTATACTGTCGCAAACATTTTCTCCTGATGGAAATTATCTTCTGGCCGGCAATATTTATGGAGATGTATCAATATTTGAGTAAGCAATTGTTTTACAATGTATAACATTTGATTTAAAAATATTAATTTTATAATAGTGTTATTAATACATTATTATTATGTGTAGCGTTAATTTTATCAAATTAAATAAAGAAAATTTAATTTTTAAATTTATAACAATTGAATTTTTGAATAGTTTATCCAAGGTCTTGGGACCCAGCAAAGTAGAAGAAAATGAATTACAAGGGCCTAATTATCGCTTTGCTGCGCATCCTGATCAAGAAGTCGCATGTATGCTTTCTACGGAGCACTTCCTTGTGACAGGAACACGTGGTGAAATATCAGGATGGGATTGGAAAACAATTACTTCCAGTAAAGCCAAGAATAAGATTTCTTGGAACATTCAAATTCCTGCTAATAAGTGAGTAGAAGTAAGAAAATAAAACTGAAAGTAAAACATTTATATACTGCTAACTAATCATAATTTATAACCATTTTTGAGAGAATTCTAAATTATGAAATTATATACATTACTGTTTTTTTTTGTTAGATTAAGGATAAATTATATATTAAATTGCTATATAGTAAAATTACTGTATAATTAATTACATAAAATAACAAAATTATATTTTTGTTAATTATGTTAAGTAAACACAATATTTTTTATGCTAAAGTTAAGTGTGTTTTTGTTTTTTTCTGTAATTTTTTTACATTAAGTATAAATATATAATTGTTTTTATATGATACACCATTATAAAGCCATTTTCTATCTTAATACATGATCGGTTTATATTGTTTAAAATCTAGCTATAATTGATATTATTTTTTATACTTGAGATATGTCTCTCTTGAATGTATGTTATGTTATATTTGAATATAATTTGTTAGAATTGGGATTATAATTTATGTGTGTGTGTGTAATTAGAATGTTACATACAATTTATAAAATTAATAATTATTTTTTCAATTATTAGCATGTGTATATTTCTTTTCAGAGACAATTATGACAAGCCAGATATAAATTGTATGGTGTACTCAACAACGAACCATTTACTGTATGCTGGCTGTGGAGATAATAACATATACATCATAAATTTGGAGGATGGAAAGATTCTGAGAACTATGCCAGGTCACACCGATTATATACATGGCCTTGCCATAATGTAATTATCTATCTATGTCAAGTAAAATGTAAAAAAAAAATTAATTTTTTATATTAAAACTTTTATATAAAATTGAAACTCCGTGAATTAATTTTAGGGATAATCAGCTCGCATCGTGTAGCGAAGATGGTTCTGTAAGATTATGGGATTTGCGCAAAAGGGAGAATACTAATATATTAACACCACATTTAGTGGATAAAGTTGCTCGACCGCGATTTGGAAAGTGGATCGGTGCCGTTGATTTCACAGAGGATTGGCTGGTACGTTGTTGGTGTGATAGTAATATCAATAAATATATTTGTAATTTTCGGTATCTTTTTGCAAAACACGAAAAGATTTATTTGGTGTTTTATTATGGAAATTTATAACCCGTAGCAAACTTGAATTACGAAAAACTTGTACTGGAAATTAAGGAATTAACGAAGGATTAAATTCAGAAAAGAAACATATTAAATTTGAAATAAATAATTGTCACTAATATATTATTTTGACACTTCGTATACAGGGTGTCTCAGAGAGATTTCGAAATCTCTCGTAAGCTGGTAGAACGCAATGAACTGAATAAGAAAGTCTTTTATCGTTTTGCGATTTTCGCAATATTAATTGAAAAGGATTGGCAAATGACCTATCACGTACATCTCATCTAGTACATCCATTCTAGCCGCGTGAAACGCGCGCTCATTTGCCAATCTTTTTTAATTATTATCCTTTTTAATTATTGTCAGTTTATTGCGCTCTACTCGTTTAAGAGAGGTTTTCTAATCTCTCCCAGACACCCTGTAAATCATTTCGATATTAAAATTTAATAACTTCATAATTTCAGCTGTGCGGCGGTGGGCCTAGTTTGTCGTTGTGGCATATGCGGACGATGGAGGCAGCGACAATCTTTGATCTGGCCGATCAGGGGATTCATGTAGCAGAAATCTATGAGGAACGTATTATTGCCGGCGGTGCGTCGGCTCATGTTCATCACACGACCTATCAGGGTGAAATCCTGGCCAAAGTACCAACTTCCAGTCTTACTGTATATAGCATAGTGCACCAAAATTCACCGCACAAAGTGCTCAGCGCGGCCGGTTCTTCAAACGGTATTGACATCAGTACAAATTTTAATTATCGCGAGATGACGCTCAAATTTGCGTAATATTTATTAGAAATATTTAACGATCATTTCACGATATTTTATTGCATTTACACACATACGGCATGTACACACACACACACACACACATTTCACTTCCAATAAAAGTTTTAATTTTAAGCAAAAGGTGGATAGAGAATGGATATGTTTGACACAAGAGAAAAAAAGAGATATGAACTTTTTAATAAATATATTTATTATTAAAGTACATTTTTTATATGATATGATTCTTCTTTTGTACAAATATACAAACGCAATTTTTGCAACGAAATACGCAGATAAATAAGTGTATTACTTGTTTGATTACATTCTTTATATTTACTCCTTTTTTCCTGCTTGCTTCTTGAGTAGGTTCTTCTCCAATTTGAGTGAACATTATTTCATTTCGATCTTTTTTGAACGTATAAAGTGTAAACAAATACAAAAAATGCAGCTAAAATAAAAATAAAAGAAAATCCGACACTGTAAATAATTTCTCACTAATTATAAAATTAGCTGTGTATTATAATAATAAAGTTAATGAGTGATCTAGATCTATTTAATAATTTAGTAATTACAAAGATATTCCGAGAATGATGCGATATTATTTTTTTTGCAAATTTTATTAGCGAGAGCCATTGCCAAATAACTTATTTCTGACAAGAAGAGGTCAGAGAAAACCGTGACCAGCGATGGCTGCAGGAATAAATCCCTCTTTACCGTCCTTCGAACGTACCCAAAACCAGTCGTCGTTTACGTGATCGCTTAGTAGAGCGACCACGTCACCCTTGGAGACAGTCAGAGCATTTGCAGCGTGCGCCTCGTAGTCGTTTCGAATCACTAGGAGCGTGTACCTCAAACCCTTGATGCGCGCGTTTGTCGCTGCCCTTAAGTATAACCGATCGACGCTGCGCTCGCCGCATGCCGACACCGCATCTCTCGGACCCCGTCTGATCCTGCTACCACGACCGCGACTCGCTCCACACTCCGATCTGGTGTCTCGCAGTTTCTCCGTGTCCGTCATGTTCCCTGAAGAGAATAGAGAAATGAATTAGGGAAGTTGACAGATTGACGAATAAAAGATTGTAAATTTCGAAAATTTACATTTAATCTTTTCAGGAATACACTGGCACATATGTGTGTGTATTACGTTCAATTTTATTTAATTCAAATATAGTCGACAAAGGTATGATAAAAATTACTGATGAACAAATACTCAGTACAATATTTCTTAATTGAAAAAAGATTTGACAAATAATCATTAGATAATTATAAGTAAATTTTGAATAAATATAATTAAAAAAATAATTAGTTTTTTTACGGCTTTAATAAATTTGTTCTTAAAGATAAATTCTATTAAAACACTAATATAAAGTGTTTTAAAACAAAATATGCAAAATTTGGCACTGCATATCTATACAGGGTGTCCCACTTTAACTTTCACACCGTAATAACTCAAAAACACAATGTTTTGGTAAAAAATGTTTCAAATAAAAGTTGTAGGGTTTGGAGGGGGAAAAAAGATAGAAATATTAGTTTGACCTTGGATGGAAGTGCTTCGGAGATTTGAAGGTCATCTTCATTTTTTAAAAATGGAACTACCCTAATTTTTTTATATAAACCGATTCCTCGCAATATTCGTCGTAAAAAGTTATAAGTTTAGGATTGCCAAAAATTGAATAGTTTACGAGATGTTTTATACTTTAATTTGACATAATTTTACATAAACTCGTTACAATATCTCGTTAAATTATCATTTTTCAATTATCTTACCTCAATACTTTTATGCACAAAATAACGAGAGAAATCAATTGGTGTAAAAAAAACACATAGTTATCTTTAAGAAAAAATATGATATGATATCATTTCAGCTACATATTTTTTTCAGCTACATCTTTTTTCCCCTTCCAAACCCTACAACTTTTATTTGAAACATTTTTTACCGAAACGCCATGTTTTCGAGTTATCACAGTGTGAAAGTTGAAGTGGGACACTCTGTATAATTGCAATAAATAAGTCATTTTCCATTTTATTTTCTAAAATTGCCGTTTTTCTGTGAGAATTACGAGGGAAAATTTCATTCACCAAGAGGTCGAGGAAAGACATCAGTGGAATCTTCCCAGCAAGGTCCTCGCGTGGGTTGAGGTAAAATTCCCAAAGGCAAACAGGCGGCGTAGCCGACGTAGCCTTCTTGGCCATGAGGCGTTTGCACGTATAACCAGGTTTGGTTCTTGAAAACGGCATTTACTACTGTGCCCAGAGGAAGAGCCATCTCGTCCTGAGTGCCGCCCTGAGTTTGATACAATACCGACGGGAAAGACAAGACCACTGGGATGTTTGCTGGTTTCTCTAAAGATGCCTAAGATTATAATTGTAACAAGAAACTATAGAAGTAACCAAAGATATCCTCCGCGAAGGATAATGAATTATTTTGTCTATTTAATCCAACGTCTCATTGAAATAAAATGGAAAAGATATTATGGAAAAAGTGTTGGAAAATTAATTCAATAAATTTTAAGGGAATGTAGAGAGAGCACATTCAAACATTTTTTTGTTAATAATATTTCCTCTGGTGATCGTATTTTGTTGTTATACATAGCGTGCAAAATGCTCGATTTAGCGTTAAGTTTAGTTAAACATTATCTAATTATATTTACAATAATATTTGCAGAATAGAAACATGCATGAAAAATCGACAAGCCAATCTTGAGCATTTATGCACTGTATATACTTAATACACATACAACGCGCGCATGCGCGTTGAAACTCGTTATTTTATATTTTATTAATATATATTTTATATGTATATACTAGTACATATATATATATATATATGTATTGGTAATTGAAAATGTAGAAATAGGCTGTAGAAATTTATTCTTTATTTTAATTTTATGCGAATTTTATACTGACATCTATTTTCAGAATATAAAAGATTGAAAATTAGAAAAATGTCAAATGATAAATTAATTAATAAATCAAATTTGTGTAAGAAAATTTCGACTTTATTTTTTTCGCTGAAATTTAATGATATGAAATATATTGCGATACTGAATGTATTATTAATTATTATTTTTTTCCATGTGCTGAATATATGAATTTTCATAAGGGACAAAAAATTAGAGTTGAGATAAAAGATAAAAGAAGGCACCTTGGTTAAAAACGCGTCAAGATCAGCGATCTCGTAGCCAAATCTGTTGGGTAGCCTAGGCTTGTGCGGACGTTTGGTCCGCCTATGCCGATGCTTTTCTCGTCCACTGGGTGTCAACATTGATTCTCGGGAGATCAGGGAAGGCTCAGAAATCGCTCTTTTTACCTTCTCTTTTTCTTTCGTATCTTTTAAACCAGCAAATTCTTTATCGGAATGCTTCTCCAGTGGACTATCTAGCAGTCGCCTCTCTTGGCCGATTGTTTCTTCGACGATAATCTTCGGAAGCACATTTAAAAGAAATAAAAAGAATAAAATGCAATTTTCTGTGAGAACACAGGCAGTTTATTTAAAAAAAAAGGTTACTCCGATTACTTGAAATGATATATGTGATTACCTTTTCGTTCCCTTCAATTTTTTCGAGCCTGTGCAGGATACTCTTCTCGCATTTCTCGATGCTCTCCTTATTCTCAATATCCTTTTGAGCAGGATCTTTTTCCTTGATGCTCCTCTTGGACAATCTTTTCTTGCCACTATGTGATAAAGCATCTTGATCGCCATTCGCACCTTCACGAAGAGAAATTTTCATAATTTTTTAACATATACGAAATAATACAATATTATATAGGATTTTATTTTTGGAAAAGTAAAACTTTTGTATTCTCTAACATTCTTATTAGTATAAAAATCAATATTATATTATTACAATAATTTTAATGCGTAACAATCTACAATTGCCAAACACATTCTTCACATCTATTTTGATAATATCTTTTAATTCTTTCCGAACGAGGGTCCTTTAGAGAACATCTTTTATTTTTGAAAAATTTTTAGGGTCCCTGAATTTAATTGTGGTTTTAAAATTCTAAAATTCAAAATAGCGGACATTTAATATAGCAGAATCAAATTTCAAAAAATTAATCTGATTATCGTAAAACTCGATTTTAAATGGTTTTTGAAATCGCTTTTTACTCGATTTTCATGAAACTTGATCTGCAATGGTATTTGTTGATGCTTTATTAAAATTTGAGGTTAAAAATACAAAATTTAAAATGACGGATCCAATACGGTCACAATTCAATAAAAATAATCAGATTATCTCGAAATTTTATTTTAGAGGGTTTTTGAGGTTACAGAATATAACCTTAGAATTATGAAATTTTGAGATGGCACTTGAATTTAACGATTTTAAAATTAAAATCGAGTTTCACGATAATTGGACTAACTTTTTGAAATTTCGTCTGCCATATTAGACGTCTGTTAGTTTGAATTTTGGAATTTTAAGACCACAATTAAATTCAGGGACCTTAAAAATGTTTAGAAAACAAGATCTTGTACAAGTTACTTTGTTAGACAGCTCCCGTCTCGAAAGGGAGCTTAAAATAAACTTACAGAACAAAAAATGAGATTAAAAAGATGTAATAAAGAGAATTTTTTACTGGTCGAATAAGCATGATTAGGTCCGGGTTGCTGTTGGCTGCGTAAGACCCAAGTCAACGAGATCTTGGGGCGCAATAAAATGCTTGGCCGTTGTCCCATACTCGTCGTGAATGCGGTAGATGTCGAGGACGTCAGCAATCTGGAGAATAACAGTGACCTTGAACTATCTGTCACAATCTGTAACAGACTGTCCGCCACCAGGTCCATCGTCTGCACCGAATGGCCATGTTTCTGAAAAAAGATTCATCTTCAGTCCCACAGTCACAAATCGTAAAAAAAAATAAGAGTATCATACCAGATATTTCGTAATAGCAATTCCGCAAGATCATCTGTCTCATCCTAAAAAATACAAACATTTAAAAGATGCGTCTGAGCTTCCTGCTTCAGCTTCATTCCGAGCGATTAACTGTACTCTACAAATACAAGGATGCAACGCGATATCAATAAAGAAATGTTGCTCGACGTTATATCGTATTACGCGTGCATCCCGTGAATAATGAATATTAATTGAACCGGAACACAGCGCAAAATTGCATCGAATAAGTTTATTAATACGTTTAATACATCCAGACAGCAAAATATCTTTGGAATTCTTTCAGAAGTGATTTATATAATTGAAAAATGTCCGCAAAATAGAGTGATTTTAGACCAATTCGAACTCAGAAATAAATTTTCTTAACTGTCCAGTTTTGTGTCAACTGATTTTTACATTTGAAATTATTGAATCAATTATATCTCTACAATGAATCAATGTAATATAAGATATGAATACATATCTCAATTTTGGGACAAGTTTGGGGAAAATTTACTTTCCTTTTTTTATATTTGTCGTATTATAATTGACAAAAGGGATAATATTTTGGAATCTTGTTTTTAAATATACTTTTATCAATAAATTTTAAGAATGCGGTCCGAGTTACAAGCACTGTTTCATGAATGATGCACAGTTGCATAATCAAGTTCACAAATCCAATAGAATTGAGCATTTACAGAATAAAAATATAGTCAAATAGTTTTTTTTAGGTCAAAAGGGTTTATAATTGATGTAGAATTGCCTTTTTATCTTTCAAAATGTTATAACATAAGAAGTATAATAATTTCTTTATGCTATTAGGCAATAATTGCTTGAGATATGTCCACATATGAGACTAATAGACTTAATCATTGATAATTGAGATTTTAGATCCATTTATTGGTCAATAATTGAAAATTATTGTACGATATAAGTACAATATTTATAAATTGTCCACTTATTATAAATTTTATCAAAAATTTAAAAATTATATTGCTTTCTGCATCATAGAGTAAATCTGGAGTTACAGCTTCTCCACGATTTTTCTATTTGACATACATACATATATATTCTTATTAATAAATACAACATGGACTGTCCGCTATACAAATACATGTGATAGAAAAAGAAAAATATATGCAATATGTATACATATAGATATTTATGCAGACGCATACAATAACTCTGGACTTACCGATTTTTTTAAAAACCAATCGATAATTAATCAAAATAATATAATTGAGATCTTGCTGATCTAAGGCCAGTTTCTCAATCCTCTTCATCGGATTTAAAGAAGCCATGAGAACCACCTCTCTGTTTGCGTAATTCACAAAGTGAATTATTAATGTATCTCATGGATGTTCAATTAATTCGTGTGGCGAGTAATGAATTATTCGGCGGAAGTCCTTGGCTTACGCTTTGTCGCGCCGCAAAATTTATGGTCATTGCTCCTTCTTGGATAAATAAATGACTGTGGCGCGACATTTACGAATAGCTTGCTTCGCCGTCATAAAAATTTGCACTGTGTACGGTCTTATACGTTTCATCGCAGTAAGAATGAGATGCAACAGGATATATTAGTAACACAGAGATATTGTTATATCTTATAAATATTTGTAAAGAAATAAAAAGACTTAAAAATAAAAATAAGTAGATAACAAATCCGTAAAGTGCACAAAGTAAATAGATTTTAGTATAAAAAATAGTATATAAAATAAATTAGTATATAAAAAAATGAAATAAAATTATATAAACCTTATACATATTTATATATTTGTTACTCGAAGCGTAGCATGGCGGTGCAATTAAATCATTGATCGGATTGCATACGCACTTTCGAACGGTTCTTGCCGGTTTGTCTTTCGATCAAGCTGCCTGAATCATGCAGGAGACTTTTACGCTGTGTACGCACTTAACGGTGCCTAACGACCAGCTGGTACCATTTTGCCGATAAGAAAAACGTTTAGATTAAAACGCATTTCACGACAAAATCGGGTGATCGATGGAACTAGTTTCTAATGTGAGCAATTAGATCAATCAATTAAAAAATTCTCAGTTAAATGTAGTAATAATGAAAGTTTTGCGTGTTACAAAATAAAAAGATTAAAACTCGATTAAAATTAATCAAAAGACAAAATGTGTTGATAATAAACAAGATCGTATAGTATCAATATGAGTCAATTTACTGCGATGCGATAATTTTTTTACAATATCTATCTGTAGTGTGTTCGAACATAAGAATATTACGTGGTATGCCTAGGTTTTATATAAAACTCATATGTTTCTACGTTCTGCTCCCCCCCCCTTCTCTTTTTCTTTCGATGTTCCGTGAAGCGGTGAGGTATCTCTCCGCAGAATATTTAACCCCGTTGACCCCCAGTGCGTCCTTGCCCCCTCTCTCCCTTTTACGTGCCAATCGTCTTACCGAAACATCCGAGAGTTCTCAGTCTTTATCTCCCTTTCGTTCCCTTTTGTGTGTGTGTGTCCCCCTCCCACCCATTCTTCATCGATCTTTACTTGCTCTTCCTTCCCTCATCTTCTCTGCCTCATCTTCTCACCGCCCCTCCTTCATCTCCGCCATGCCGTTAATTATAAGGTCTTAACTCTCGAATTATCGTGCATGCCATTACTTTTATCTTCTTCGTGAGAGATTCTCTCAATTTTCCGCGGTAACCAAAAGACACTATTTCATTTAAAATGTCAGAATACGCGTGATTCTCATCGTGGCTTGTAGTTGTGTTTTTAGCATTTTCGCGCGATGTTTTCTTCCTCTCAAAATCTATATTTATTGTTGCAATTCTTTTTGACAGTCGCCCCTTTCACCTTTTCGATTCTAATTCTAATATAATTGTTCGTCAAGATAGAGATATCGTGTCAATTAGTGCGCATTAATGCCGAAATCGATTCGATGGAATGCGACATTTAATTAAAATTATTGCTATTGGTCACTTAACATCAACCTGTCTCTTGTTACTACTATTTATTTTTTTTTACAAAAGTGACCATTTTTTTCTTTTTCTGCGATGCTTGATCGCCCCGCTAATTTATTCTCATGCGGAATGTCGTTCGTTCAGCGAACTTGCATGACGCGTTATTTTAACAGTGTAAAGGTGCGACAAATCGCATCTTTCTATCTCAAAAAGCTGAACAAACATTGAAAACATTTATGTTTACAAAATATAATAAATAAAAAAGATTAAAATGCATTATTATTAAAATATTGTGTAACACATAAATTTATAAAGTATTATATCAAAAAGTATACTTTAATTTGTACATTGCATAATAAAATGATATAAAAGAAATTATATAAAATATAATAGATAATTCGAATAACATATGTTTTAATAAAAACATAAAAGATTATATAAAGTGTTTCTTGAATCGATTTACAATTTTCAATCATGCATGAGAATTATTACACGTGATGCGATTTGCGTGCTTGAACTTCGTACTTTCTTCGTGAGTATAAATTTTCGAAAATATTTCGGAGTCTTGCACGCACCGGGATGATGAACGAGAGAATAAGATCGCGGCTTAAACACAGTATTCGAGTCCCGTGACTTATGGGATTCGATCAGCCGTAGCGTAGCAGGGCCAATAGGAGGGACCTGAACCTACGAATTTGCTCATTTACTCATATACGCGGTGGAATACCGCGGCGATGCAACAGGGTTCTTTCTTCCATGAAAAGCGAGCCAACGATTGCGAATATGCTGGAAAGATTTATCGATGCCGCGATCGCGACCCGAGTATCGATTACGTCGGTCGAATTTGCGATCGAGCATAATTGCAAACGAGTTCATAAGCAGAAATATCTTGTTTTGATATTGGATTCCAATCACAGACATTTATACTACAACTAAATTGCTAACCCTCTTTGTTCTCGTATATAAAAGTGGTTCCAAAAATTATGCATTACATATAATAAGAAAGCATTTGCGCATAAATAGCAATGCATTAACTAATATGAAAAACGAAAAATGCATGCAATAGTACTATACACACACACACACACATACACCGCACGCACGCACGCGGCGTGTGTACATATATATACAATATAATCAGGGCTGGGCAAAAAGTATTTGAAATACAAAATACAAAATACTGTCAATTTTAGTATTTTGATAAAAGATTGATAATATTTTATATTTTGTATTTGATAGAAGATTGATAATATTTTATATTTCAAATACTTAATGATGTATTTGGCCTAGCCCTAACTAAGATTGACAGTATTTTGTATTTGTATTTCAAATACTTAATAATGTATTTTGTCCAGCCTTGAATATAATTTAAAATCGACCAATGAAATGACTATTTTATCCAATATCACGTATGCGTATGAATTTTGTACAAAAATTTTGGAATCATGTATTTGACCGAGTTGGCAGTTTAGTTACAATATAGATGTCTAGGATTCCAATATTGTATTTTGTGTGTATGTGTGCCAAATAAAATTGACATTAAACAGGTTCGCCGTTAAACTTTAAAGCACAATGCATTTTTTCAAATCGTTTTATCTTGAGATTGCAGATGGAAAAATTATCTGGTATTGCTGTCGTTATTCGTAATAAGTTTTCTCAAATACGACGTACGGTTCATATAATTCGCTGTTTTCATCCTCAAGTCGGTCGATATCCAGCAAGCTTTTATTTTCGATGTGACAAGATATACGAACACAACTCTTCGCGTCTCTCACGAACGTCGTTTGACAGGTGATTCCTGTATATCGACCGTGAAAAAAGCTATCGAGTGAGAGGAACGAGAAATTACCTGCGCTATAGGGCGGTTTCCGCTTCTTTGACTTGTCGATGATCGCGAAAACTCATTAACATTTAGCCGCTAATCATCGCGAGATTAAACGCGATTATCGTCCAGATCGTGCGGTACTTTGCCGTCGATGTTATCGATGTTGCTGCCGTCGCTCAGCACGATCAGGAATTACACTGTCAAGAAGATGTCTCGTGTATTGCATCACGTAGCTTATTATATCGTTCACCTTGATATCATTACTTTTCATTTTTATATAAATATTTACGTTTGTTTCTTTTTGTCATTTAATATTTTGTGAATGTTATCGAGAGAATTATTATTATCGAATTATTACTGAAATCCTTGAAAAGTATTAGAAAATTTAAATCAAACTTATTGTGATCAATCACAATCGCGTTTATAGAAATTATATCGAGAATTTTTTTCTATTCAAAGTTTTCATTATTATTGTTATATTATTATTTTGTAGAAAGATATTAAAGAGATATTCAGAACATCTCGTTGAAATTCTTGATTAAACGCTTTCACGTCAAATTTAATACATTTCATATTTCCAAGCTCCAATATCGCAAATTTTCACATCGGTCGATATTTTCATGTCGTTTTATACAACCAATTATTTTATTATTAAACAATAAGCTCTTTTTACTCTTTAACTTTTTGATTTCGTCGCGCTTCAACTTCTTTGTCTTCTCAAGGTTCTATTTCAAACTGTTTTTCAACAATGATGATTTTTCACTCACACTTGACTAGACATCATCTTCTTTGCGGAAAGAAGTAAAAATCCAGGAAATAATAATAAATTAAAAAAATAAAAGATAAGGTCACTTTTCCTTGTGTTTTTTCGTTGATTACACAGCTGGCGAGAGATTACAGGTGCGCTACAGATTTACTCACAGGTGCAGCTCTGACTAGACTAAAGTGTGCTCGTTGCAGCGCGCCGTACTCTAGGAGAACAGACATCCGAAGAGAGAAAGTCGGTTGAAGAGAAAGAGAGAGAAAAGATAATACCTGGTGTCTCGATTGGTCCATGTTTCCCGCGAAAACAGCTCGACCAATCGCCGTGACCGCGTAATTGTCGGCTATCAGGCTTCGCAAAAACGATCTTGACTGGGCTCCAAGTCCCACGAAGCCGCCCTTTTGACCAGTGTTCACCCGACGAACATGCGTTCTCCCTCGACACGTCTCTCCCTGGAAAAAAAATATACCGTTAATCGTCGTCGCTAAAAAATCGATCAACAAAGGGATTGTCCTCGTATAAGTTGCAACGAGATCTAGAAATGCTGAAGACCTAAAGATCTAAATCTATGAAACAAATATTTACAATCAGTCAGCTGTTTAAGAGATTATAATTTTAAATAAAAAAAAAGTCTTATTTTGTTAAACTTAATATACATTTAAAGCATGATATAATTTAATTAAAAAGTTATTATTTGTAATGTAACATAATATAGATATGATTGATATAATCAAGTTTTATTACATAAATTTTTCTTTAAAATTTTTCTTCAGAAATATGACATAAAATATATTGATAAAGATATTATGCTTTTTATATATTCTCCATTTTTCTTTTGTAATTATCCCTTTAAACAATTTTATATTTATAATTATTATTACGTTTTATCATATTAATATTATACTATATTTCTTGTGGTATTGTAATTTTAATGATTATCAAAAAAAACTTGACCTTTTTACCTAGTTGTAAAATAAATATATTTTTATTATATTTTCTTTTGCATTTACAACACATTTTGTACTTCTCGTCGATTTATTTCAGTATAATTTATAATTTCGCAAGTTTTATACAAGGTTCATCCTGACGTCTCTTGTCATGCCCGAGAACGAAGGAATAACTTTCTCGCGAGAAAGAGAGGAATGGAGAAACTGGGCGGTTCGTAAGTGGCGAGTCCAAGAGACGCGGTGGGGCAAGGAATCGAGGCGGAGGAGGGCCCAGCGACCTCTGACCCTCCTGGGAACCATGAAGAGCCCAAGGGCCGTGCAGCCGAGAAGGCTCGAGAATCTGACCGAGATCCACCCGGTCGAAATACTCGTACGGCGATTATGCCACTGTCGGTGCAATAACCATCGACGGATCCGACAGACTCTGGCCGATTGCGAATTAATTCATTGTGAGAAGTAATCGAACGTCGAGAGAGTCGATCTGTGTGTGTGTGTGTGTGTGTGTGTGTGTGTGTGTGTGTGTGTGTGTGTGTGTGTGTGCGTGTGTGTGTAGACTCCTAATTAATAAATAAGAAAGTAATAGAAAGAATAGTATTTTAATGGAGATAGAAAAAAATTTGTGCATATATATGCACATATGTGTGCGTGTACGTATGTGTATATTTTTTCTATCTTGCTTAAAAAAAGAAAAAAGAAAAAACTATAATCCAATCCCGTTATTAGAATCACCCTGTTATGTGCACGCGCGCGTGTGTGTACTAGAGTACTGCTCTTTTTTTAATAGGAAACGCACCCAGGTGTCCCTCTCTGATTTTGATGGACTTTAAATATGTTATAATGTAGCTAAAAGTAGAAGACATTTTTTTTATACATGCTCAATCACATGTCTAAGGTTGCATATAAAAAATGTTTCAGATAATAGTTTTACGATATTTTATACTTTATAATTATGTACTACTTATGAATAAAACAAAATATCACATTTTTTTTATTTACCCAACCCCTTGTTATTATTTTTACAAATTTTAAAATTTTTATAAGGACAAAAATTGAAGGATATTTTACACCAAAAACGTAAGTAGGAATAATAACGAATTCGACGATATTAGAGTTTATTCAAATAGTTTTTATACATTACGATACACTTTTGTGATGACAATCTTATATAAAATTTTATAGAAACTATGCTTATGTAATATATA